CATCCATCCATTCAATCATCCATGCACTCATCTATTCACCCAAACATCCATCCATCCATCATTCATTCATTCATCCATTCACCAAACCTTCCACTGAACCATCCATCCAACCATCCATCAATCTGATCATCTATGTACTCATCTATTCATCCAAACATCCATCCTTCATCTGTCCATCCATCCATCTACCCATCCATCCATCCTACAGACCTTCATATGTACAGAATGTATGTTAGGCACTAGAAGAGATGCAAAGTTCAGATGGGACACAAGCCCTCCCTCACAGAGATCAAGAACTCTGAAAAGGTGGAGTCAGATTTGGGTTTAAAATCTCAGGTCCTCCAATACCTGAAATTCTGAAAGGCAAACTATGGACATAAAGACAAAGGACTTTACCACAGGCCAGAACAGAGCCAGGCATGGACAAGAAAGAGACTGAGTGTACACTAGAAAAGGGGAGAGAAATCCAGGGATAGAAGAGCCCCCAAGATTTGTGTGTGTGTGTGTGTGTGTGTGTCTCTGGGTGTGGTAGGTACTCACCATGACCAGCCCTTTGGTGATCTGCTCAGAGCAACCATGGCATGACTCGCCATAGCGGGCCCAATAGTCCTTCTTACAGTACAGCTGCCCATCCTTTTCATAGTACTGGTGGGAGAGGGAGGCACCACACTCACAGCACCTGGGCCAGAGACAAGAAGGAGGCTCCGATGGACACCCTGCCTCTGGACCACGTCTACCCTTGCACCTACTCACATGCTGACCCTCCAAGAAGAACCACTGCCCAGAAGCCAGGTCTTCTGGTCCATCAGCATTTGGAAAGGGGCACTCCCAGTCTACACTGGCATAGCACACCATGAGGAAACAACAAAGGCCTTGGAACTGGATTGCATTTGGGAGGGTGGGGGAGAAATGCCAGACCTAGATAACCAAACCACAGAACTTTAGTGCCGGAAGGGACCTAAGAGAAGATCTAAATTCTTTGACCCTTTGGTCCCAAGATTTCGAGCTCTCAGGTGCTTGAGGGAACATCTGGTCTGATTCCCTCATTCTACAAAGGTGAAGTCAGTGGTACAGTAGAAGTGAGACAAAGGAGCGGTACCAAGGTTCAAATCCCAGCTAGGTTGCTTACTTACTACCCCTGTGACCTTGGGCAAGCACCCCTTGACCTCAGTTTCCTCATCTGTAAAATGAGACACTTGGATCAGATGCCTCTGAGGTTGCTTGCTCTGGATCCATGAGCTGAAAACTGAAATTCAGAGACATTACAAAATCTGCCTGAGCTGGCCCCAGGGTGCTCAGGTCCTTCAGCCCGAGTCCTGGGCTGTCTGCGCTGCTCAGTCTCCTAGGAGGCTTTGGAGATGGGGCGACTTTAAACGCCTCTGCAGGGAGTCTCTTAGCCTGGGCTCTTGGAATTTGTCTTTAAAAATCACCCATCACTGTATTTCAGTAGTTTCCTTTGTGATACTATGGATTTTATTTTGTGCATTTAAACATGATTGAGGGAAGGAATCCACAGGCTTGAACATACTGTTTTTGTTTCTGTTTTTTTTCTTTGGCAAACAAAAAAGCCACTAAGCCACGAGGCCCTGGTAGTCTCCTTATTTACAGACGAAGAAACTTAGTCCAGAGACAAACTCCCCCAAAGGAGAGAAGCAAGTTTCCCTCCCGGAAGGCCTTCAGGAGAGGAACGATGGCTGGGGGTATTACTGAAGGCAGAGGCTGACTCTGAAGCAGGCATGAGCAAAGTGGGATCACATATCCCATTTAGTCTTTTCAAGGTCATCTCAACAGAATATCACCACCCTAGAACCCGAATGCACTGAAGAGGGCAAACCTCTCATTTTACAGATGGGGACACCGAGGCCGGAGAAGGCTGCTCAAAGACTTGCCCAAGGTCACACATCTAAGCTAAAGACAGAGCTCAGGTCTCTAGACTCCAGGCTTGGAGCTTCTTTTTACCTGCGTTAAGCTAAAGCGATGCACAAAGGTGGGAGAAGAACCCAGCTGGGGAGGATGGGGATAGATCCGGCCCCTGAGGCTGGAACGAGATCTGCCTTTCTGGAGCAGGAAGCCAGGCTGATGACATCAGCAGTCAGGCTGCTGCAACTTGAGATCCCCCCTTGAGTCAGGACCCCCTTGGCTCAGGCCTGATTAAGTAGCGGAGCTGGAATTCTACATGCTTGGGGGAAAGGGGGACAGAAGGGGGATAGCTGTCTGGCCAAACAGGAAGGAAGGAGAGAAAGAGGAGGGAGAAAAGGCGGGGGGGGGGGGGGGGGGGCGGGGAGCAAGAGAGGCCAGGCAGGAGGGACTGCGGCATCCTAGAGCTGGCGACGGCGAAGCTTTCTCTTTAAGGGGCGGACAGCCAGTTCCTCATTGTCTGGGAGCTGAAGCGCCTCCCTGCTCCCTCCCCCCACCCCCCCAAAGAGCCCAGGAGACTGAGCGGAGAAGCTGCTGTGGTCCTGGGCTGCAGATGGTGCTCGGAGGGGAGGGGGCGGGGCTGTCCATCCCTCTGCCTAGCCGGCCCCCCTAGGGCAGAGGAGGGGGGAGGGGAGGCACCAGCCCTGAATTGTATGGGGGGGAGCCCAAGGCAGCAGAGCAGAAAGGAGATGCCTGGGAGGAGGGATTTGGGGCGCATTGGGGCTGCCTCCCTACCAGGAAAGCCAATAGTGCGGAGGGTGGTACGGCAGGTGGTAGACAGAGTAACCCAGGTGTGCTCAAGGGCCCCAAAGCTGGGCATTGGGGGAGGGGGAGAGAAGAAACGCGGCCTCCAGGAGTCCCCCACTCCAGTGCCATGATGTCATCCCAGAGCTCAGTGGTGAACTTGAACCCAGGCAGACCTGGCCAATGGTGGCTCAGGGCCAGGTGGGGTGGGGGTCGGGGGCGGGGCTCGGCAACTCCATTAACTCCTGAAAAGCTGTACCCGGCTTCCTCCCCACCAGATCCCAAGGGGGGCTGGCTCGGGGCCCACCCACACAAATGAGCCTCATCCCTCTCTGCTCCCCCTCCCCAGGCCTCTGCCAAGAAGGGGCTGCTCTCAGGATGCCCAGCTCTCCCAGAAATCCCCTGAGAAAGGGGGCTGGGTCTGGGAGGCAGGAGAAAAATGACCGGGGGTCCACGAGTGAGTGTCCCACCCTGAGTCAGACTTTCTTAGGCCCTTCTAAGAATAACAGCAAGAGAGCACCGCTACCCTCACATCCCTTGGTTTACAAAGAACGAGGGGATGCCGGCTACCCAAAGGCCACTTGGTACCCAGCCCTCCTCCAGCCCCTGGCCCCTCTAACAACCAAGTGCTTCCTTTGAAATCCGGGGAGCTCAGAAGCCTCCACATTCAGAATCCAATGTTACAGTCTTTCTTCACTTTCACTCTGCTGGTATATGCTGCACTGTAGGAAGGGGGTGACGTCAGAGCCTCCCGCCCCAGACAGTGAGGACACATTGAGAAATCGGATGTGAAACACAGGAGCCTGGGCCCCCATCCACAGCAGGCAGCCAGGGAAAACCCAAGGCATCTCCTTCTGTTGCCGAAAACAACCCTAAAAACAGCCCAATCCCTCCCACTATGAGAGAGAAACTGAGGCCCAGAAAGGAAGTGACTAGCCCGTGACTGCACAGCTGATAAGGGTCAGAGCTAGGAATGCAGCCTGGGTTTTCTGTAGCCCAGCTTTGGGGCCCTTTCGTCTCGGCTACCTTTGCTGGGATCCCTGGGAGACAGGCTGTTCTTTATTTAAACCAGGTTAAACCTGGAGGCTGGAGGCTACAGGTCAGCCCTCCCATATAATCCTTCTTTCATTTATTCACTGCTTTACACACCCCTCCAAGACCTTTCTCCCACCTGCCTAGTCACCCACAGACACCCGAGTTCAGGACCTCAACACAGCTCACCTGGACTACTTTTAACAGCCTCCTAGACTCCAGCCTCTTCCCAAGTCATCTTTTCTGTACCACACAGATATTCCTAACGCCTAGGTCTGACCATGCCAGGCCTCTGCTCAAAAACTCCAGACTCAAAAAGCTCCCTGTGGCCTCGAAGTTCTAAGACAAACTGCTCTGGTTGACCTTCGGAGCCCTTCCCCATCTGTCTCAGAGCCTAGGGCCACACTTCCTGTTTCTCTGGTCCTCCCTATCTCCACACCTTTCCCCAACCCTGGAACATTCTCCTTTCACAGCAAGGAGGTAGTCCAAATAGACATGAGGTGCTGAGGAAGAGGATATAATCCCTTGCCTTTGAGGGCCTTACATTCTTAACTCCATCTCCTCCCTGGGGGGGGGGGGGGGGGGAATAGGGCTTTTCCATAGAAAGGGAACTGGGAGGGGAAGGTCATTAGGAGAAGCAGCCACAGCATGGGGCTGGCCCCAGGGCACAGGGCAGCCTCTGTCTCCAGTGAGGTGAGCCATCCATGATGCCTGATGCTTTTTGCTGAGCAGCCAAGGGGATCTTGGTCAAGCCTGCCAGATAGCCTCGGCCAAGAATAACCAGAAAGCTGATGGGGAAGGAGGGGAGGGAAGAGGTCAGAATCACTCAGGCCACTGGGCTGGTCACCAGTCTCCTGGGAGATCAGCCTAGAGGCGGAAAGACAAGAACCCAGCTCTGTTAATTACTCTCTGGGTGACCTTGGGTCAATCCCTTCCCTTCTCTGGGACTCCACTACCTTTCCCACAAAACGAACGGATCAGATTCAGGCCTAAGGTAAATAATATCAGGGCACTGGGGTGAGGGAGTAAGATAAGCTAAGATAATAAGATGAATTTATTATCCTCCAATCCAGAAGGGAGGGAACTGGGCCAGAGGCTGGCTCAGGAGCACTGTCCCAGGTCCATTCATGGCCCCATGGAGAGGCTCTGATTTCACAGGTGTGGGTGGCTCTCCAGCAGGAAAGGAGGCTTTCTCTGAGGGCAGCTCAACAACTCCTCGGCAAACCAAGTCTTAGGAGGGTTACCTGAGGGTACTGAGGCTTAAGATCATTCCCCAGGATGGGTCAGACCAGGGGTGTCCTCCAGGCTCTGAAGCTACCCCTGAGCCATCCTCTCCACGAGGCAGGATCACAGCACTCCGTATCACCTGGGCTTGCCATCTCATTTGTAGACATGCTAAGATGCCCAGTGCAGAGCTGGAAGGCCCTCACATGCCATGGAGTCCAGGGTTGACCCTGGCTCAGAATCACATTTATAAATGAATAAAACAGAAACAAATTATGACATACAGTTCTCAAAATATTTTTTAAAGGAAGTTCACAGAGCACAGATGAAGAACCCCTGATCTAGGCAGTCCCTTAGTTTCACAGACAAGGAAACTGAGGAACGTGGTGCTGGAGGTGGGATCTGAGCCAGGGCTTCTGATACTAGACCTTCATCACCATCCATGAAGGCAGTGGATCTGACTAGCCCTCCCGTCCCTAGAAATGGCTGAGGGGAGTGGCCCCTCAGACCAGTGCTGTCCAGGACATTTGGGAGGGGAGAGGCCTGGGTCGGCCGGCATACCCACTTGTCTGCTTCATCCAGCCGCCAAGTTTCAGTTCTCCCAGGCTTCCCAGACCCGGTCCCCTCCCCCCTCCTCCCTCCCTGCGCCCCAGTCCTGGGTGGGGGGGGGCTAAGGAAGGGCACACGAAGCCCCAAGGCAGCTGCCCCACTAGGAGCTGGAGGGGGAGAGGGATCTGTTCAGACTTACTTGGCCCTGGCCAGGAAGTAACCTCTCCAGAGGGCTGAGGCCAGCATCCTCGCAGCTGTGGCCTCCAGGGGGGTCAGGGACCAAAGAGGAAGCTGAGGCGTCAGGACTCACAACTCCAGCCCCGCCTCCAGCCCTAGGCTGTGCCCCTAGAAACCACGCACCCAGGGGTGGGGCTAGGGTGGCCGCAGACTCAGTGGAAGGCCAGCGCTGGGAGAAAGGAGAAAATGTGGGCACGGGTTCTTCCCTCTCTTCAACTTCCCAAGGAGGGCGGTTAAAAAATGCCTGCAAGTTTCGGGCGGTGGACTATGTTTTAGAGGAGGGGGGTGGGGCTGGGGGCCGGGCAGGAGCTCCCAGGTGCTCAGCCTTACCCCAGGCTCAGGAGGGTATCCTCTCCTGACCACCCCCTCCCTTCTTACTTCTCTGACCACCTGCTCTAGCACCTGCCTCCAGGACCACAGATTTGGGACTGGAAGGGAGCTCAGAGGCCACAGAGCCCAAAGTCCTCATTTTACAGATGGGGAAACTGAGGTCTAGATAGTGAAGTGCCAGTTTCGGTCCTTGGTCCTCACAGGTCCACCCCCTTCATTTTACACATAAGGAAACTGAGGCCCAGAGAATGAAGCGAACTTGCCCAAGGTCACACAGATGGGATCACAGAATTGGACCTAGAAGGACCTTTAGAGGTTGTTCAGTCCCCCTCATTTTACACATGAGGAAACTGAGGCCCCGAGAGGGTAGTCAGAATGTAAATCCAAGTTATTATTTTATTTATTATCAGTATATAATTTATTAAATTCAATTTATTACCATACTCAAATTCAATAAAATGGAAGAAGAGTATTCTACAATTGTTTAATGCCGATAAATTGAGTTTGGTTTAGTAGTCAATGACACGCTTATTTTCCTGTGTAGGAATTCAGTACTGGGTGCCTAGCCCCGTGCGGGGCTATCCTGTGGGGGTGGGGGAGGAGAGGGAGGGATCCCTAGACCACAGATGACAGGCCTGAGGCTGGAAGAGACCTCAAAGGCCCTTTAGTCCACCCCATCCCTCATTTTACAAGTGAGGAAACTGAGGCCCAGAGAGGGCCCAGGGCCACACAGGTAGGAAGGGCAGTGGAAAGAGTGAGGAAAAACACTGACTTTGGAGCCTGAGGAACCAGGGTTCCAATACAGGTTCCTTTGGGACAAATGGAACGAGCACCGATACTGGAGTCTGAGGGCTTGGGTTCGAATCTTACCTCTGACATTTACTATCTGTGGGACCTTAGCCAAGCCCCTTCTGCTCTCTGGGCCTAGGTTCCCTCCTCTCTAAAATGCAGTGACAGGAATAGATGCTGCCTAGGGCCCCTTCCAGCTGTCCATCCTGTGATCTGCACTTTGTCTAGGGTAGAGCAGACTGAGCTCTGCAGGCTGGATCCAGCCCGGGGGGCTGTCGGGACCCCGGGAAGAGGGAAAAACTCTGGATAGGCCTGAAATCCATGCTGAGACGGTGTATGTGTGCCAGGCCCTCAAGGAGAACTCCAAGCCCAGGCAGGCACGAGACAGAAACACTGGAAGCCAGGAAGGCTCGTCTCCCCAAGGCCATTCAGGATGGGCCTGGCTGGGAGACTCCTGGGTCCCTGGCCATCTTTGCCATTCTGATCGTCACAACACCTGAACTCTTCTAGGGGCAGCTTCTCCTTTTCAAAGTGGAGAATTGAGACCCAGAAGAAATAATATGCCTAAGGTCCTACAGTGAGTCCGTAATATAGTCTGGACTAGAACTGAAGTCAGGTTCTTCCCATTGCAACACTCTACTTTCCCGGGCCTGGCACAAACCACCCCTTGGCACGGGCCACAGGCAAAAGCAGAGTCAGACTCAAATCCTGCCCCTGATCCTTGTTACCTGTGTGACACTGGCTAAGTTACGTTACCACTCTGGGCCTCAGCCTCCTTCTTTGTCAAATAAGATGACCTCTGAGTTCCCTTCCAGGTTATGATGAACAGGAGATCCATTCACTTGCCCAAGGCCAAGTGGAGGGGGAACACGGACCCAGACCTCCCATCCTCAGGTCCACGGCTCCTTCTTCCACATCAGAGCCCTCCAGCACTCCATTAGAGACCTTTTTCTGGTTTGACCCAGGCCAGACCAAGGTTTGGCCATTCTGGATTCACCCCCACTGCACTATCCTTCTGTTTTGTCCACTTAGATCAAGGGTCCTTAACCTGGGATCTGTGAACTCATTTTTAAAAATATTTTGATAACCATTTCAGTAGCATGAGTTTATCTGCATCTTTTATTTAGTGCTTCTAAGAAGAGGATTCTGAGAAGGGTCCGTGGGGTTCAGTAGACCGTCTGCCAGAGGCCCAGGACACACCAAAAGTGGAACCCCCAACTTAGAGGCAGTGCGATGTATCCGATACCCGGCTGAAATAATAGCTAGTACATATGTGGGTGCGCACCTCTCTCTCTGCCTGGTTTGTGAAGCGCTTTACATATGTTCATTTGTGTGATCCAGATAACTGGTTGCTCCAGGACGTCCCAGCTCGATCAGGGGGACACGAGAGGCCCCCTAGTTCATCCTTCTCTTTTTATAGAAAAGGAAACCGAGTCTCAGACAGGACAGTTCCTCTGACACAGGGAATTTGGGGCTCAACTGAGTAGAGAGCCTGCCTCCTTTCTACATCGCACTGACTGTTCTAAACATTTTGCTTAGGGGTATCTGCTTAGCCATTGAGGTGCAGCCTGGCTGGCCTCAGAGACAGGAGGTCTTGGATTCGAGTCTTGCCTCCCCGGCACATCCTGGCCTCACAGCCCTGGGCCAGTCACTTCACTTTCCAGGTAACTTTTTAAGACTGCAAACTGCCAAACGGGGAGCAGGGCTGCCTTAGTGGAGGGAATGCTTTCATTGGGAGCTCCCCGTATCAAAGCCATCCAAGGTCTGGTCCCTATCCAGCCCCAGGGCATTTTTGAGCTCACTGTGAATCCTTGGACCTAACAGGTACCAGGAGAACATCTCTTCCCCTCTGTCTCCCTCTTTCCTGCCCTCCTCCCCCCAGCCCCTTAGCCCTACCTGAAGCAGTCAGAATGCCAGTCAGCATTCAGGGCCTGGAGGTACTGGCCATCATAGATGCTCTGGCCACAGCTTGAACACACGGGCAGATCACTTCCTGGAAGGGGTGGAGCAGATGGGGGAGAACGGAGACAGAGAGTGAGCGACTGCTTGGCATGGTGCCTGCCCCTCCTCCACCATGCCAGGCTGGGGCCGAGCAGGACCCTTTACTAGGCCATCTGGACCCAGGCTTCAGAGAGGATTAGTCAGGGGAGGGGGGAGGGAAAGGGGATGGGATCAGTCAGTCAGCATTCTTTCCATGCCTGCTGTATGCCAGACAAAACCAACACATTTCCTGCCCTCAAGGTTTATGGCTCACCTTGACAAACAGGAGAAATGAAGAGAAGGGGAAAGATTCTTCCCTGGGCCAACACATCCATTCTTCCTCTCCCTGTCCATCCATCCCAAGGAGAACCCCTGGGTGGTCTGGGGCCCTTGGGTGCAGGCCCCTATGGAATCATTCCTAAGGGAAGACTCTGGAAGTCGAGTGGGGTGGGGTGGATTTGGGCCGGTCATATTCCATCTCTGGGCCTCAGTTTCCTTCTATGGAACACGAGGACATCAGACTAGCTCGCCTCTGAGGGCTCTACCACCTCTACGTCTATGAGCCCGCGATTCACTTCCAGACTGTGGGAACAGAGGCAGACGCCCAAGGTAGCTAAGATGCAGGTGTGTCCCTGGCCAGCCTGCTGCCGAGCCGGAGAAGGGGACGCCAGAGAAGGAGGCCGAGAGCACCTGAGGGCTCCTCTTGGGAGAATTCTGGGGAGAAGCAGGAAAGAAAGAGCCTCTGCCGTCAGTCTATCCTTATTTGCTTAGTCATTCCCCCAGCTCTCCTCACACTGGCCATAGAATGCTGGAGATGGTGGAGCCCTTAGGGATCAATTGGGCCAATTTCCTTACATTATGGAGGACGAACCTGCAGTCCTGAGAAGGAAATGATAACTGATGTTTAGGATTACTGTTAGCTCTGGAAAGGACCTTCTGACCCTTTTTACACATTCATCCCCTCACTGGAGTTTCACTACGATGCTTCGAGGTAGATATAACAGGCATTCTTTTCCCCATTTTACAGATGAGGAAACTGAGGCCCAGAGTGCTAGTGACTTGCTCAAAGTCACCCTACATAACCCAACTCCCAGTTTTCCCAGCACACCACATTCGATTTTCTATGACAATGGAATGGGGAGCCATGGCGTGCCTAATTCAATACATCTGATGACCCTCACCTTCCTTCAGTCAGTTTGGAGAACCTAGGAAGGTAGGGGTGGATTGGCCTCAGAAACATGCCTTGTCTGGATACACACTTGAAGGCATTTGGGTTCCTTGAGGCTACCCTGGATGTGGCTGGTGGTGATATAGATAGCAAGGGACTTGGGGATGCATGGGAAAGTCTCGGGGTAAGAATTTAAGGAAGCTGCCTCTAGATTAAAAATCAGCCTTGTAAACTCTCCGATTCTACGTGTGAACATGTGTGTGAGACCTCAAGAAAATCACTTAATTCTCTGTGCCTCGGTTTCCTTATCTGTAAATGAGGGGTTTGGACTCAGCGATCTCTGCAGTCCCTTTGAGTTCTAAATCAATGATCTTATGAGCTTACATGGGCCAGTTCATGATGCCAACCACCAGCTGCTAATCAGCTCGGCCCTAGGGGCCAGCAAGTCTCCATACAATGGGGGATAACCAGAATAGCCCCTTGCCCCCAAATGCTGTCCCCTACCTGAGACCTGACTCCCCACAAGGGACCAAAGTCCTCCATCCCCCTGAGAGGTAGCAGGATAGGAAGGCAGGTAGCCTTGGGAGGAACACAGGTCCCACCGGGGTGTAAGGGGCTTGCATCTCTCAGCAGTCCTCCAGAGCCTGCTTTGACATGAGGGAAGTCAGGCATCCTGGAGATGTGCAGGGAAGCAGGAGGAGGCCTGGCAGAAGGAGGGAAAGGGCCCAGAAAGGGGAAGCCAGGGATGCTCTGACTTCACAGACGTCATGGGTTTGCTCTGCCCAATCCCCCACAAGAGGCGACATTCTGCCTGCCAATATGTGGAGCGCGTCCGTGGCATAGGATGTCAGAGCTGGACGGAGCCTTGCATATTCTTTTACTCAACCCCTTCATTTTCAGAGGCGGAAACTGAGGCCCAGGGAGATCCCATGGAAAATGAGACAAAGAGCCAGAATTGGTCTCTGAGTCCCCTAATGTAACGAGCCAGTTCCCTTCTTCACTGCGGGCCTCCGTGGAGGCCGTTCTGGGCGCAGGGCTGAGAAGTGAAGGCAAAACCAACGGCTGAGAGCCAAGAAGGTGTTGGGGAAAGGAGAGGCCGCCCAAGATTCGTCAGGGGTGGAAATCTATCCAGGCAGAGGGGAAGGGCCTCTGAGACAAGGGGATTCCAACTGGAGGCCTGATGGCAGACCACCTATGAGAAACTGCTTAGTAGGGAGAGGGTGGGACAGCAGCGGTGGGAATTTGCCTACTGGGTCCTCTTGTCCAATTGCTCCAATACAGGACTTGCTTAAGATGGGCTGGGGGATGGGATGAAGGGATGGAGGCGATAGGAACAGCAGTGAGGCTGTTCAAAGGTGCGGGCATAGGGGCTAGGGATAGCTTATGGGGATAGTATTAGGCATAGAGGACAGGAATGGTTGTTGAGGGGCAGTCAGGGAAACCGAGGTGATGCTTAGGGTCATTCAGAGCTTGGAGGTCATCCAGTCCAACTGCCCTGATTTACAAATGAAGAAACTGAGACCTAGGCAGGTCAAATGCCTTGCCCAAGGTCACACAGGCAGTGAAACAGCTGAGGGAATATGAACTCAGGCCCCTGATCAAGAAAGCAGTGTCGGGGTGTGGAGAGAACACCAGACTTGGACTCACAGGGCCTGGATTCAAACTCTGGCTTTGCTGTTTTCCTACCTGTGTGACCTTGAGTAAGTCGATTCACTTTTCTGGATCCCAGTTTCCTCATCTGCAAAACGGGGAGGTGGGTCTACAGGGTGTCGGGGCCCTTCTAGCTCTGAATCTGTGGTCCCATGACTTCTGTTGTGGGGGGGTCTTTCTATTACAGGATACTCCCGTTCACCGTTAAGGATGGGGGTGGGGGTGGGGTTAGGGCATTAGAGGAGATAAAAGGACTGGGGTGGGTAGGGGTAAGTTAAGGTGGTAGGGGCCGAGGCAGTCGGGAGTCTGGAGGGGATGAGAAGAGAGGTCGTCATGGGCACAGGAGGATGGAGATGGGGATGACATAGGGATGGGGTTCAGGGGACGGGATGAACTGGCTGGGGCAAGGCTGGGAAAGGAGAATGAGATCAGGGGGAGAGCCGGGCGGGGACTGGGGTGTGATCAGGACAGCGGGGCTGGGGGGGGGGATCTGAGGATGGTCGGGCCGAGGATGCCGGATTTGGGGCGCAGCGCAGGGAGTCGGCCGAGGCCCCCCGGGGCTCCTGGGGCTGGGGGAGGGGCCGGCCCCGTAGCGTCCGCCTGCACACTCTTGCACACTCATGCCCACTCTTGCACACTTGCACACGCATGCTCACCTTCCTCCTCTCCCATACGTTCTTCCCTCCAGGTGCAGCAGAGGAGCATCAACCTCATGCATTCGGCGGGACCGGAGCCGGGACCGGGGCCGGGCCGGGCCGGGCGCCCAGCGCCGCAGCCACCAGCCCCGGGCCGGGCCGGGGGCGCGGGCCGGAGGTCGGGGTGGGGCTCGGGGTGCCCCGCGGGCCGGGCGGGCTGGGCGCGCCGCCGCTGCCGCCGCCGCTGCTCCTCGGGATGCTGCTGCCCCCGCCGCCGCAGCTGCTGCGTCGCCGGGGCCGCCGCTGGGCGCTCCGGGCTCCAGCCGCCACTGCGGGGAGAGGAGGGAGGGATGCAGGGCAGGGGGCGGGCCTGCGCAGCCGGGATCCCTGGGATGGAGCTGCGGCGGCGGCGGCGGCGGCGGCGGCGGCGGCTGGGCCCGGGCCCGGGGCGGGGGTGGGGACCCTGGCAGCGCCGGCGCGGAGGCCTGGGGGGCGGGGCCTGATCCAGGGGGCGGGGCCTGGGGACCTAGCAGCGCGGCGCGGATGGCTTTGGGGCGGGGCCAGGGACCCTGGAGGCGCCTGCGCGGAGGCCGGGGGGCGGGGGGGGGCGGGGCGGGGGGCGGGGCTCCCCACGACCTTGGCCACCGCCCCCAGTCTGGGTCTCTACCCCTGCGCTCCAGCGACCCGGGAGGTCGCAGTCCCTGGCAGCCCCCAGCCTCACCCTTCCCTTTGGCACACAGTAGGCTCTGATCGATGGGTCTCCCCTAGCTTGGCCTCGCGCGCCGTCCCCCTCCCCAGGGTCCAGGGCAGGGTCCAGCCTGGACACGGGGTCGCCCCTGCCCAGGCGGGACCGTGGCCAGGACGGGCACAGGGTCAAACTGGCGTGGAAAGAGAAACGTGCCCGGGTCGGAGCTTCTCCGGTCCTTGGCATTGTCCCCCCCCAGAGCCTAGCACAGTGCTTGGCACACCTGGGAGTTCATTGACAGGAGACTCCCGGGGAGGAAATTCTCTCCCCTCGTGCAGAGCAGCCTCTTCTCTGTAGCCTGGTGGAAGAGAACTCCGGGGCCCCGAATTGAGGGGCTCAGGGACTTGCCCAGGGGTCTCGGTCTGAGAGGGCATTTGACTTTGAGGACAGGACAGTCTCCATCCTGTATTCTAGGTTCTCCCCAAGTTGTGCTTAATGGAGGTTGATAGGTTGATTGTCTAACGGGATGGAAATCTCTTGTCTCCCCTAGGAAGAGACAGAGTCTCCTGGGAGCTCCCCTATTGTGCCCAGGACAGGAGCAGCTCTGGCCCATCCTTTCCCCAGAGCCATCGATTTAGGGCTTGGGAAGGACCAGTGGCACATTTAAGCCAACCCTTCATTTTACAAAGATGGAAAAGGAGGCCAGTGGAAGGAAACTGTTTGTCCAAGGTCACGCAGGAAACAATTAGCAGCCTTCCAACTTGATAATAGGCTTCTGCTTCCAAGGGCAGCATTTCCCCTCCTCTCTCTGCTGCTCACCTCCCGGCTCTGCCTTCCAGCTCCTATTGAAAAGTGCAGCTGTCTGTCGAACTTCTTTCTCCCTAGCCTAGACTTTATAGAGCTCATCTTCTAGTTCCTCGAGGTCAGGAATGGGGTCATCAGACCCTCTGGTGCCCACGTCAGAGCTGGCACAGAGCCTCAAATAGAGCAAGTAAAGGGGGCTCAGGAATTGAGCTTAGAATGATGCCTTCAGCCTTCACTGCTCTTCCCTCAGGCCACTCAGGCCCAAGCTGAATGAGGCCCAGCCCTGGACCAGGGGAACCATGATCTCTTTCCCTCACCCATCTCCAACACGTGGCCAGGGTGATTTGGCTTGGAAAATCCTTGCAGGAGATGTTTTATGGTTCAGGCCAATGGGCCACTAATTGAATCAATTTTTTTGTCTGAACCTGGCTAAGTCAGTTGGTTAGGGAACCATGCTCAAGAGGAGTGTGTGTGTGTGTGTGTGAGAGAGAGAGAGAGTTTGCGTGTAAGAATGAGTTGTGTTTGTGGGTATGAATGTGTGTGTGTTTATGTGTGTCATTTTTTGTGTCTATGAGAGTGTGTGTATTTGTGTGTGTGGAGGAGTGGTTTTAAGCATGTGAGTGTGTTTGTGTGTATGAGAGTGTGTGTATTTGTGTGTGAGTGTGTGTATGAGGGTGTGTATGTGTGCAGAAGCTCTGAGGTAGGTCCGTCAGTTGGATTGAATGGTACCCAGGAAAGCCTGGACTGAGCCTCTTCTCTGTCCCAGCTGTGACTTCCTTCTCTAAAATGAAGAGGTCGGGCCAGACAGCCTCTAAGGTCTCTTTCAGCTCTTCACACTTTATGGCTCTGTCCTGCTATGATTGGCACTGCCTGTGTGACCTTAGGCCGGCCTCTCCCTGGTTTCAGTTTCCTCCCCTGTAAAATGGAAGGGCTGGGCTGAAGATCTCTGGTGTCTATGGCTCTATCATGTGGTTGTAACATCATTTTGGATGGTATACTTTGATGTGCTTTGGCCCCACAGGGGACGCGACAGGGATTGGTGAAGGATTCGTGTCTCTTGGTTCCCCCACGATGGGGTGATGCTTCCGAAAGAATTGGTCACTGAGCCGTGAAAAACAGCTCGCTCAATAGATCTTAAAAGCAGTGACTGCCCTCTGACCTTTTTAATCTTTCTTTCTCCTGAATTCTCTCTGGGACTTCCCACGGGATGAGGGGGTGGAGGGGATGGAGGGGGAGGGGAGCCTCTCTACCACCCCTCCCCCTCACTAACAGTAGCTGCTTCCACACGGCAGCAAACATTTGTAGTGCCTAGGTGAGTCCAAGCCTGGGGCATGGATCCCGGCTGTCCCTTCTGCTTTGTGTTTCTCCCTCTGAGCCTGTGACTGAAAGTCCATCATGAGAGGGGTGTTTCCGACCTTGAAGGAAACCTCATGAGTTTGGGAACTTTGGGATTTCCCACATGCCTCGGTTGGTCCCAGTTTCATTGCAGAAGGTCCTCCTTGCAGCCATTACAACGACTACAGACCCAAGAATGGGCCCAAGCCTCGACTTGGCTTGCTAGAAGACACAGAACTTGAGGGAGCTGTTTGGACAAAGCAGAACGAACACGAAAATGGAATGATCATTTAGCAGTTTTGCGAAATCTTCCATATTTTAACATGCTAATTATCAACCAGCCAAGAGTGTATAATAGACATTGTAGGTTATTATATTACATTGTAAGACTTTGTTAACATACTGTGAGTCTGGTGTTTTAATTGTTTCTTTTATGTAGAGGAAATAAATAGCTGTCCTATACCTAATTTACATTGTACATTGAGTGCTTTTCTACTTCTCTTTGAGGAGACCCTAAACTTGAGTTAGACTTTAGTGTTAAGTGGTTTTCTCTTTGGACTCTGGGGTAGAGTGTAAAGCACAGGTGGGGAATCTGTGACCTTGAGGTCACATGTGGCCCTCTAGGTCCTCAAGTGCTGCCTTTTGAATCAGTTGGAGGCTGCACCCTCCACCTGATTCTCCACCCCTGGCCAAAGAGTCAGAGAATATGAGAGAGCCAGACTCCCCCAGAACTGAGCATGGTCTGTGAGAGCTCAGCTGTTGGGGTCTCTTAGCGTGAGGTGGCAAGTGCCCCAGTCCTTCTGGAGCCTCTAAATTCTGCTGTTGGAGTACACTAATAGCTGTCATAAGATGGCTAGCTCATCCTTTTGGCTGAGGAGCAGATCCAGAATGAGGATGCTCAGGTCTTGGGCCAGGGCACCAAATTTAGTGGGTGGCTGTTAGCCTTTACCGATGTTCCTTCAACATTGCGGGAACAACCAAACATAGCGCTAAGTTAGCATGACTCGTTAGTCAAGGTAGGGAGCAACCCAAAGAGTTGGGAACAGCATAAATGCCCATCCACTGAGGAATAGCTAACCAAACTGTGGTACGTGAAGGGGCTGGAATATGGTGGTGCTATAAGAAGCAATGAATACGATGGACACAGAGAAGCGTGGGCAGATTTACATCAACTGATGCTAAGGGAAGTAAACAGAACCAGGAAAACATCTGTTGGTCAGTTGTGTCCGACTCTTTGTGACCCCATTTGGGTTTTTTTCCGCAGAAATACTGGAATGGTTCACCATTTCCTTCTCCACGTATTTTACAGATGAGGAAACTGAGGTAAACAGGGTGAAGTGACTTGCCCAGGGTCACACAGCTAGGAAGTGTCTGAGGCCAGGTTTGAACTCAGAAAGATGAGTCTTCCTGACTCCAGGCCTGGCACTCTGTTTGCTTCGCCACCAGGAAAAATGGCATACACAACAATGAAAATAGAAAAAAACAAAAACCACAAAATGATTGAAGGTGAATTTTGAACAATGCCACAGAATAAGTTTGGCCCCAAAGAAAAGATGTGAGAAGACTTGTCCGACTCCGTTCCTTTGCAGAAGTGGGAAGTCTACAGGTGTAGAACATTGTACACGTTATCAGACATTTTTGTTCTATTGATTAATTTCATGGATTATTTTTTCTCTTTTTCCTTAAAAAAAATTTTGCCATATGGGATGGCTCTGGGTGGGAGAGGAGAAAGATACAGGAGGAACTGTAGAAAATGTGAAAACGAAAGATATCAATGAAAATTTATGAAAAGGAAAAAACAAAAAACAAAACTAATGATAGAAAGCTACCCCATGACAGATTTCCTCTCCAGGGCCTGCAGTCCAATTGAGTTACTCCTAGATGCAGTCTAACCTTGCCCCTCCTCACCAGCAACCCAAATGTGCCCTGGACCCCTTCTGGTTCTCAGTTTCCTCCTTTGTAAAATGAAGGAATTGGAAGCCATCTTCCACCTCTGACATGCTATGCTTCCATGATGCCCTTGCCCTTGTGTGAGAGTGGTATCGTAGGGTCCCCGATAGAGCCTGGTGGCCCAGAGCTCTCCTGCTGAGACCCCCCTGAGAATTTTCCTTAAAACATTGGCGTGAGAGCACATTTTCTTAGGCTTGCCTGAGGTACCACAGGCAGGGCTCCACCAGATAGCCTATTAAACTTCACAGGGGGGAGTTTGAACCTGGGCCCTCTGAGGCTCCAGAGATATGGAGAGTGGCCCAGGATGAGGAGAAGGGATGGGTTATGAAGTGAGTTCACGTGGAGCTCAGGGACTCACTGCAGGTTTGCATTACTCCCCAGCTCCTTCCCCTAGTGTTCACCAGTATGGTGGAAGAAGCCTTGAGTTCCATCCAAACACAGGAAGGATTTCCTAGCAAGGGTGATGTCCTCCTGGGTGGCTCAGTGGAAATGATACTGAATCTGGAGTCAAAAAGATCTGAGTGTGAATCCTGAGTCAGAGGCTTCCTTGTTGTGTGACTCTGGAGAGGGTCAATCTCAGTTAAATCACCTCTAGAATAGGGATAAGAACAGCACCTCCCTTGTAGGGTTGTCCTGAGGATGAGATGAGATAATATTTGTAAAGCACTTAGCATGTGCCTGGCACACAGTAGGGCACCATATACATGCTTATTTTCTTTCCTGAAGGTTTCATTATTCGAATCTCATCAAACTCTAGAGCTCTAGAAAGATGCTTCCTTAGTGAAATCCACAAATAACAAAGGTCAGTCTCTATACCCACATGGGAGGTGGGGGAATGAAGTAGGTGAAATATTCATATTGCCTTGATTATGATGTGAAGTTGGAGAGAAGGCCTGTCAACCTAATCTACCAGGAGCGGCCTCTCAGACAAGGCTAGAGATGGAGGACAGGGGCTTAGAGGCACTTGGAGAACGTGCCATGCTCTGTCCACTCCCAACCACCTCTCCTTGAGAAAGCCCCCAGCTTTTAACTCTAATATTTTCCTGTTACTTTTCCAGGACACCTTCCTTGCCCACTCCATCCCCTTTCCCCCTTCTCCATCATGGTTAGCACCTTCCCTCTGAGATGACCTTGGACATACAGTCATCCCTTCCACATCACGGGGTTACGGGCGCAGCACCCCGCTGTCTGGAAAATCCGCGTAAAATTTTTTGGCCCTCTCTTTGTACCAGAGAAGAAGTTTGAATTTTTTGTTTTTCTTTTATGGGGTGTTTACAGTATTAAAAGATAAAATATATTGATATTGCACAATACTATACATATATTTTATGCATTTCTGAGTTCCTAAACTTTTTCTGTGTTTTCTGCTGGCCTTTGTACGCTGTCTGTGGCTTCCGAAAAACTACCCCCAAATTCCCATTTAATTTCTTATGTTGACCTGTGAAATAGCGAAACCAAGACAGGGAAAGTCTCAATGTGGAAGGGATAACTGTATCTTGTTTGTACAAGGTTATTTGCATATTGTCTCCACCGCTAGAATGAGCTCCAGGAGGGCAGGGACCAAGCTTTTGCCTTTCTTTGTAGCCCCAGTGCTTAGCACGGTGCCCGATACATCGTATTAAGTACTTTCAAAATGCTTGGTAATCAATTAATTGCCTATATGGCTGTGGATCCTAGAACACCATAGACCTCAAGGGCGATGGAAAGATGTCTGGAATTAGGGAGACCTGGGCACAAACCCTGCCACAGACACTTAGCTCTGGGCAGATCACTTAACCTTTTTGTGCCTCCTAAGTAAAATGACACGGCTGGACTTAACGACCCTTCAAGTCCTTTCTAAATTCTAAATGAACCTCCCAAGATCCCACACACGGCTGGTGAAAGCAGGCTATGGTATGTTAGGGTGGAACTGGAATGTGGCAGAGGGGAGAATAACTCTGGATCTGGAGCTGGAGATCTGGATTCAAGTTCGAGTGTTTCTACTTACTACCTGTGTGAGCCTGAGCAAGTCCCTGACTTTCTTTGGGTCTGTCTCTGTGGCTACATTTGGAGAAGGAGTCGGACAAGATGGTCTGGGCTATTTGGAGAAGGAGTCAGACAAGATGGTCTGGGCTCCTTCCCAGTTCTAGATTTCTGAGCCTTTAATGTCCAATGTTCCTTCCAACTCAAAAGTGCAGTTTCTTATGAACACTCTCCCCTCGTCTGGTATGGTGGGAAAGAGTCAATGGTTTGGTGTTGGAACGTCCAGGTTCAAATCCCACCTTCTCCTGTGTGACATGGGGCAAGTTCCCATCCCTTTCTGAGCCTCATCTGCTGGACTAGATGACCATGGGGGTCCCTTCTGGCTCTAAATCTATTATCCTGTGGTTTTTCTCTGCTTGTCTAAATCCTCCTGTCCTTCCTTTTCCCCCTTGTCTCTTTCTGACTCCTTACAGCACTCAGAACCAAGCAAACACTCAGTTGTTTTCTGGGCCATTAGAATGTAAGCTCCGTGAGGGCATGGATCATTTTTGCTCTTTCTTTGTAACCCCAGCTCAGCACAGGGCTTAAATGTAGTAAGTATTTCCTAACTTCTTGTTAACGGACTTGGATGAGTTTTGTTTTCTCCGCTATCTGGTATGCTCCTAGAGCCTTAGGAATGTCCCAGCTCTCACTGCTGTCCCCCATAGCTCCTAGCTGAGGGCTGGTCACACAGTAAGCACTCAGTCTTTCTGGTGGGTTGACTGACGGATTGCAAGAGAATGAGACAAGTCAAAAGAGGCTAGGACACCATTTCCTTTAAAAGGTTTTCATTTATTAGTCTGTTTTCTGAAGCAGTTACTTTCCTTTTCTTATTAAAAAAAAAGTGTGTTCCATCCAAAGTGATACCAAAGTGATTAAAATGAACACAGGGGGGTCAGTTCCCCTCTGTGGGGATACAGCTCCCCAAACCAGAAAAAAATTTAAACACACACCCCCAAAACAAAATCAAACAAAAAAATCCCAAACCAAAATAAACCCCAAGTATCCAGGACAAAAAATAAAATATTTATTGATCTATCACAGCGAGACACGGAGACAGGGCCTGAATGTTGGGAAGAGTTGCTCCGACGCCCAGGGGCTCAAGGGACTGAGGATACAGTACTGCTGTGTGAGATATACCAGGGATAGGCGGGGAGCTCTGGGTCCTCATTTCCCTCTGGTTCCCCTCCCGCCGCAGCCCCATCCTCGGGCCTCTTGGGGTTCTAGGCAGTGCTGGCTGTCCCAGGCCTGGCGGGGATGGAGTCGCTGTCAATGGTGAGTACATGCATGCGTTCCCACACTCCCGATGGCAGGGGTCTCCCCTTGCCAGTGGGGTGTGTGAGTGTATGTGGTGGCAGGGCTGGGGCGAGGGGTAGAGGTGGGGAAGACCAGGACAGGTCCTACAAGGTGGAGGGCATCACTGAAAGACATTCAAGTCTGCTGGGGCAGGAGCCTCTTGCTAGACTGGGTGGTAAACTTTTTTTGGGTGAGGGGTGGACGGATGGATGGAAAGATAAATTCCAAAAAGATCAGGGGCATGGCTGTTCCCAGTCTTCAGGTATATTGGCTCCATGGATGGATGTGAGGAGCAGCAAGGGAGAGACTGAAGGGACAGCCCTCTGGCGTGGTGGGGAGAGGTGGCCAGATCTGGATGGCTCGCAACCAGGACTGAGGCTGATTTAAAGTGCTCGGGTACAAGGTAGGGCAAGCAGGCCCAACCCCAAAGGCTGCTCATCCCAGTGGGAGAGCATGACTGTGGGTCCTGGGCTGACCTTTCCTGGTGGGGGTAGGGTTGGATGTCTTGAAAATCTCCAGGGCTGTGTTTAGAGGAGCCCCCAGGTGAGGGGCTTATCCAGGGGACCCCCTCTTCCCTCCTCCCTCACCCCCAAGAAAGTTATAAGCACCAACAAGTAGCACCATATTTCCCTCAAGATCATGAACGCAGAGGGGAGAGCTCCTGGGTGGGAATGGGGTGGTGGTGGTGATGAGGAGGGCATCTGATCCCTCCCCTTACCCAAGCTCCTTTAGGGAAGGGGACAGAATTCCAAGCTGACCCCTGGTTCTTGTGTTTGCTTGCCCCGTGGTCCCGTGCCTCCACCCCATCCCCTACCCCCACCGGATGGGTGGGTGGCTGTAGGAACACTCCAGTGAGAAGGATCTGACCCTGGGAGAAGGGTGGGGAAGAGGGGGGAGGGGAGGGGGAGAGGGAGTCACTCAAGGTATACATTCTAGACTAGGCAGTAGCACCAAAGTTCATGAGGTCTCGGGTCGGGTGTCCTGGGAAGATTTACTTTCTCTTCCGGCCACACAATTTCCCCAAACAAGCCCCACCTGCGAAGGAAAGAGAACGATGTTTAGTGAGGCCAGCATCCTTTGCATGAAGGAAGAAGCGAAGGACCAGAAAGGGGATGGCATTTACTGTTGGTCACAAAGATGTGAAAGAGATTGGACCTAACTTCCTTGTGGATCCAAAGTGCCTGGAGGGCAGAGATAGCTCACATGTTATTAATAATAATAATGATAATTAGATATTGATGAGGATGATGATGATAGCTGACATATATTACTTTAGCTTAGTGCAGTGTCTGGCACATAGTAGGCATTTAATAAAAGTTTGATCGATCGATTAAAATTTGCAGAGCACTATTCACACATTCACATGTGCACACACCCTACTGCACTTGAGCCTTACAACTCTGTCTCTGTGAAGTTTGTGCATTGTTATGCCCATTTTAACAGGCGAGAAAGCTGTATCGTAGAAAAATGAAGTGACCTACCCAGAATCACACAGCTAGTGACATTATGAGACAGGATTCATAACATGGTCTTCCTGATTCTATAGCAGGGGTCCTTAACCTAGGAGTCTGTAAACTTTTTTTTTTTAAACATTCCGAGAGCTGTATTTCAGTACAAATGATTTCTGTCATAATCCCGTGTATTTTATGCCTTTCAAAACATGATTCAAAAAAGGGGCTTACCCTAAAAAAGGTAAAATAGCCCATACAGGGGGATCTGTCAAGGTTAAGAACCCCTGGTCTTAAGCTAAGGCCCCTTAGCCTTGGCTTAGGCTTCATCCATCAGGCCACACTGCCTCCCAGCCTAGGGAGGACAAAGCAACAATCCAGAGCCTTGGGAAGGTGTTCTGTGGAATGAGCTCAGCCAAGCATGAGAAAGGAGAAGGCTCTGGCCAGGCTGTGCATCCTCTGAGGATGCGGGAGAAGCCGTGAAAGCGCCATCTTCTCTCTTACCTCCTTGGCATGGAAGAATGGGCCTCTTGGACTCATGTTTATTTTATTTGATCGTTTGTTTTCATCCATTTTGATAAAAGAATGTTCCCTCCCTATTTAAAGAGACCTAGAAATGAGTTGCTGAGATCTTAGGACGGCAACGTCCCTGCTTGGTCCCATGTAAGACTCTTTACCACCACCTGGTGGTAGCCGGTGTACATGCAGGGAACAGAGGACCAGCCTTTCTGCCCACCCCTGTTCTGGCTCCTGCAGGCTTGCTTGTGACTTTGCCCTCATGTCCTGCTTCAGGTAGGATGGATGTGAGAGGTCTAGATCCTAGTCTCAGGCCTGTCCACTGACTGATTCCCTGTGTGGTTTGGGGCAAGTCATATCACACTCAGGTTTTGCACCAGTCAAATGGGGCTAGGCATGTGCCATGGGTCTCCCTGTGAGAAGCCTCAGAGATAATGTGAGGAAGTGCTTTGGGAAATCAACAGTGCCTTTGGATTAGGGGGTGGGGGGAGGAAGAGGGATGAACAAACGTGTTCCCGACAACCAGACACTCCAGCTCCTTCTCACCACGCTCTGCACCAGGAATTTCTCTCTTTGCTTTCTCTCCTGTTCTCTTTCCCTTTCCTTCTCTTCTCCCATTCCCTCCTTTTTCCTTTTTCACTATCTTCCTTTTCTCTCCTTTAACTTCTTCCTCCCTTTATCTTCTCTCTGTCTTTTCAGTCTCCTCTCTCTGTCCTTCCTCCCCTCTTTTCTTCTCTTCTCTCTCTCTCTCTTTCTCTCTCTCTCTCTGTCTCTCTCCCTCTCCTTCCTCTGCATTCCTTTCCTTCTTCCCCTGTTCCCTTCAGAAGAGGGTGTTGAGGAAGATGGGACCCAAAGCCCTCTGATCTGATCATAGGCGAGGACAGCCCTGTAGGAAGGAGGGTCCTGGAAGGCTGGCTCCTACAAGGCAGAAAGCATGCTCAGCTCCCTCAGGCAAATGTATGGGCCCTGGGGAAGGCTGCCCTGGAAGGGCCCAGGGAGCCAGACCAGGAAAGTGATTGGGTTGGTGGAATCTTGCCATTTATTCCTGTCAATTTGGGCATCAGGGACATTCTTTTCTTGACCCACCTAACCCACCCAAGGTCTAGGGGATCCCAGCCTTTGATGAAATAGACACTAAACTTCCCCCCAGCTCAGCTGGGGCACCTGCCCTTATCCCCAATGTCCTCATGTACCTCGATATCCCAGAGCTCCAAGGGCACCACCAAACTGTTTGGAAGGTTTTCCTGTGGAAGATGAAGTGAGGGGAGAGGCACTTGTGAATCATGGCAGCTCTGGGTTCCTTCCCCCTCCTCCTGCCAAGCAATCCCAGTGCCCAGAAGCACCTCTCTCTGGACACTTCAGCCAACAGGGCAAGGGGCCTGAGGGGAGGCCATTGCAGGTCCTCAACTCAGGGGACTGTTTGGGCAGCCCCAGTTCCTTGGAGCTCAGGGCGGTTACTGATTAAGGAGAATCCAAGCCTTATCACAGAACCATAAATTTAGAGCACTAGACCTGAAGACTGGCTAGTCCAATCCTTTCATTTTACCTATGAGGAAACTGAGTCTAGGGAGATTAGGTGACTCACCTGAGGTCATGTAGGTGGCAAACATCAGAGGTAGGATCTGAATCCAGACCCCAGAGCTCATACCTTTCCTCCATATACCGCTGTCTGCCTAATTACACCTGGACTGTTGTAAGTCTCCTGTGGACTGGTTTCACTATTACTGGCCTCTCTTCTTAGAATCTACTTTATGTCCAACTGCCAGAGTGATCTTCCTAATGTACCACTTGCATAATCTCACTCATCAACCTTCAATGGCTCCCCATGACCTAGAGTACCAGTTCTTAGAATATAGTCTAAAGACCTCTGGGGTCAGGAATGTGCTGGTAAATGTTTAACAACCAACCCTCCAGGGAGAAGAAAATGTATTCATGATATACTTTTAAGTTTAGTCTACATTATTCACATTTCCCCCATCCCTTTAAGAAGACAGTCAACAAAATTATCAATGAAGCCCTGTGCTTATTTCTGAGGTCTAAATGCGAACACTGAACATTTAACAATCAGTTCTCAGCTATTTGTACTGGCTCCAGCACAACTCTGCCTGGGGGGTCCTGACACCCTTTCAGGGGGTCTGTGAAGTCAAATTTATTTTCATAGCAATACTAAGATGTTATTTGCCTTTTAAAATATTCTTCCCTTTGCCACCTACATGTCTGTATGAGGCTAGATTTTCTTCATGTACTATAACCAAAACAACCTATCACAACAGATTGAAGGCAGAGAATCCAGCTGCCTTCTATTAAGATAGACATTAAGGAGATTTGCAAAAATACATTTTAAAAAGCTACTCTTCTCATTATATTTTGTTTTTGTTTTGGAAAATATAGTAATTTTTCATAAATATATATTTCATAAAATAGTTATTTTCCATAAACAATGTATGTTATTGCTATTTAAAAAATAATTAATAAAAATATTTTAAAACTTTATCAGTTTTAATCTCTAACATGGTAAATATTGATAGATAGAACCCACATTTTAAAAAGCCCTTTGGGGGGATCCTCAATAATTTTTTAAGTGTAAAGTGGCCAAGAAGATAAGATCCATATTCAAGGTGCTCAACAATCTGACCTTGCCAGCTTTATCTCTCATTCCTTAATCTGCGTGTGTCTGTGTCTGTGTCTGTGTCTGTGTCTGTGTCTGTGTCTGTGTCTGTCTCACTGCAGCCTCTGGGCCTTTGTCCAGCCCAGAATGTTCTCTTTTTCTCCAAATTCTACCCATCCTTCAGGGCCCACCTTTTCCAGGAAGTCTTCCCTGATCACTCTAATTCATTGCTCACTCCTCTGAACTCCTGTAGGATTTTGTCCCCCTCACTCTCTGCGTTATATTAGAGGTCACCTCTGGATTCTACGTCTTGCATCTCCTCTTAGACTACAGACTGCTTCAGAGTGAGAACTATGTCTTGGCCATATTTGGATCCCTCATGGCATCAAGCCCAGAGTTCTATTGTAAGAGACTGTCAACAAACAAACAAACAAAAAAACCCCCAAACCCTAGCAAATGAAATTAGATTTCCTAGATCCCTCTGAATCCAGTGACACGGATGCTGCCATCTTGGTATAGGTTTACTTACCACCAAATCCCAGTCCACCAGCTCCGCCACCTGCAATGCAAGAGATCAGGAAGATGAGTCTACGCATTCAACCAACAAGCATTCAGCCCCGTCTCCCATCCTGCCTAGAAACAGGGACAGGGAGGATGGAACCTGAGGCCTGGGAAGGACAGCTGGAGAAGGATGTCCGGTAGACGCAGTAGTCTGGTTCTGCCATGAATTTGCCACTTTGTGACTTTCCTTGTGTCACTTAATCTTTTTGCAACTCAGCTTATCTGCTCTGTAAAATTGGAAGAATCATTTCTGCCCTTCCTACCTCACAGGGATCTTTGTGAGGATGTGTATGTGTATGTGTGTTAAAGATAATATGTGAAAAGTGCTTTGGAAAAATTAAAAAGTGATTGAGGTATGTGAGGACAAAGGAAGGGAAGAATTAGAAGGAGAAAGGGAGAGGAGACGGGGATGGGGGGAGTGTGGGAGGGAAGAGGAAAGAGACAGAGGAAAAGAAGAAAAGAATGAGGGAGATAGGGGAGGAAGAAGGAAGTGGGAAGATAAAGGAAGGAAGGAAACAAGGAAGGGATCAAAGTAGAAAGGAAAGAAAGAAGGAAGAAAAGAAGGGAGGGGGAAAAGAGAGAGGGAGAAAGAAAGGGAGGGAAGGAGGAAGGAAGGAAAGAAAGAAGGAAGGAGAAAAAGGAAGGAAGGAGAAGGAAGATAGGAGAAATAGAGAGGCAGAGGGAAGGAGGGAGAAGGAGAGAGGGCGCGCTTTGCTGATGTCCCACCTAAATCTTCATCCCTTTTGTCAAGATCTTGGGATGAGAGCAGAGTGGACTCCAGCTCAGGCCCCCAGGGCACGTTGTCTGTGCCAGGACCCTGAGATCTGGGAATGGGAGGGGGTGTGTTGGGGAGTGAAAGCTGCATCCTGCATTTGTAGCCCTTTAAGGTTACAAAGGTTTTCCTCATCCCCGTCCTGAGAGGGAGGTAATAGAATAAAGATTAGTATTCCCATTTCACAGATGAGGAAGCTGGGGAGTGGTTTGCTAGTTAAGGAGGAGGGGTTGAACTCCTGGCTTTCCTCAGTCTGTGAACATTAATGGAGGGTAGGCCTTGCCAACTTCACCTACCTGGGAAAATAGGTGAAAGTCCATAGCCAAATGATGGGACACCTGCAAAGAGGGGGAAACAGAGGTTAGTGATGGCTGGGACGGGGTGGGATCAGAGGCTGCCATGTGGCCCAATCCCCTCATTCTACAGATGAGGAAACTGAGACCCAAAGAGATAAGTTGACTTGCTTAGGATCATTCAGAGAATGACTGACAGTGGGTAGTTGAACCTGGGTTCGCTAACTCCAGCCCAGCCATACAATGCGGTGGGAGGCTCACAGCCAGAAGCTTCACTTTTTTCCCCTAGTGCCTGGCATAATCTGCTTAATCTCTGCACGTTGATTGATGGATAGCACAAGGGATTTTAAGAGGTGAAGTTGAGGATGAAGGACATTGTAGGCATGGGAGATAGTCTATCCAAGGCACAAGAGAAGGGAGATAGAGCCATGTGTGGGAAACAGCAAGAAGTCCAGGCTGCATTGTGGGAAGGAGAGAATAATGATGATTATTATAGCTAACACTTATCTAGCACTCACCGCGTGTCAGGCACTGTGCTAAGCACTTTACAAATATTGTCTAATTTAATCCTTACAACAGCCCTGGACTTGGTTGCTCTTCCTATCCCCATTTGACAGATGAGGAAATTGAGGCAGGCAGAATATAAGTGACTTGCCCAGGGCCACACAGCTAGTAAGTGTCTGAGGCCGGATTTGAACTCAGGTCTTCCTAACTCCAGGCTCAGCACTCTATCCATTGAACTGCCTAGCTGCCTCTAACATAACGGTTGGAAAGGAGGGTGGGGGCCAGGGCTCTAAAAGACAAACAAGAAATCGTATATTTTATCATAACGGTAATAGGGAGCTATTGGAGTTTATAGAGTAGATGAATGACTTTAGGAATGTCACTTTGGCAGCCACAAGGAGGCTAGAATGGAGTGAGGAGAGACTGCCAGGGAGCAGAAAGCAGGGAGGCTAAGGAGGAGGTGATTGTAATGGTCCAGTAGAGATGTGACCTTCGGCAGGGGCTGGAAGAGAGCGAGGGGACGGAGGGGGGAACCGTAGAAGTACACAGGAGGAGATCTGGCGGCTGACTGGATTTGGAGGAGCAGGCGTGTCTGACGGAAACAGGGATATTTGGACCCCCGACTCTAAGCTGGCCTCTAAGCCCCAGCTCTGCCTGCTCCCCAGGGCTGTGGGGAGGGTCAATAAGAAAACAAGCTCCTGGCCTCCTAGGCCAGGCCAAGAAGGAGAGAGTACCCCTATTTCTACTCTATCACGTCTCCAGAGAAATCCTGGCTTCTGGACCCTGCCCTGCTCACCACACCCTCTTGCGAGGGCCTAGTTTGGTACCCTGGCCAAGTCCTCTGACCCCAGCCTTCCAGGCAGTGATGGCCTTGGTGCCACGGGACTTCCCAGACAGCTGCCTCCCATCATCCTCACTGGTGGAGTTAGGTGGGGCCCCACGGGCAGCTCTGCTCCCCCGCGCTGGGGCATCTGCAAGTGTGAGAGCCTTTCCCTGGCTGCCCGGGGCTGCAGGGCAAAGAACGGGCACTTGTCTGTTCTGACTGGGGAATGGGAGGGGAGGGGGGCTGGCTGGAAGAGAGGCAGGGGAGACTCACAGCAGTCACTGCTGCGCCCTGCTCAGGGTCAATTTGGGCTCCTAGATATCATACCCCCTTCCTTCTATGCTGTCCTATTGACTGTGCTGAACTACAGAGAGGTTATAGATTTTTTTCCTCATTTGTCTGTCCTGATATTAGGGGCTCCATGTTTCCCCCCTCAGACAGGGGATTTCTCAAAGGCAGGCTCAACACATGGGGGCTTTCCAAGGATAGGAACTGTGTGTCTCCCATCAGACCAGGAGCTCTCTGAAGACAGAGGTAGGGTCTCCCTCTGCATCAGCCCACAGGTTCTCCAATAGCACTCACTGCCAGAACCCCAGAGGATGGGGACGACTTCTCTTCTTCCCTCCATCCCTCCACTCCGTGTCCAGGCCAGTACCCTTCCTCTCCCCCCACCCCCGCCTTTCTCCATACGTGCACACACTGGCCTGTGTACACAGGAGCGGTCCAGGGCTCAGGAGACAATGGCTCCTGGTAGGTTGGTTCATGAGAAACCTTCAGGGCTGGTCCTATCCCATTAGAATGTAAGCTCCTTGAGGGCAGGGACCATTTTTGCTTTTTTTTCTTTACTCCTGGCACTTAGTACGCTGCCAGGCACAGAATAAGTACTAACAAAAGCTTGTTGATTTCTTGATTTGGGTTGAAGCACAACCATGGTCTCAGATAAAGGACTCACCTGCCCCTGGCAGCACTCGGGTCCCTGGCAAACCTCCAATTCCTGGCACGAGGCCAACCCCACCAGCAGCACCTAGGGCAGAGGGAGACTAGAAGTGAGGCCCCAGATCGACAGGGGCACACCGCGATTATGGGTCTGGGGGTCCTCGGCTGAGGGGCTGCCTCCTCTCCCAAGGCAGCCACGGTCTCTTCCCACACCAGGGGGCACATCACACCTGAGACGCTCAAAATCACTGGGATCAGTGGGGCTGCCCCTCAGCCCCAGCCGTCTGTGCCCTTCTGCCCCCCAGGGCCCCATGCCATTCTGAACAGACACCCCATTAATTCTAGATGTCTCCTCTTCACAAGCCTTCGATTTGTTGGGGTTCTCTGAACCTTGCAGAGACGGGCACTTACCGTACTTAGCTGCTTTGGCAGCGGCTTTAGCGGCTGCAGCTGGACCTCCTACTCCTGTGAGGCAGAGAAGAGAAGGCTCAGAGACTTCTACTACCAGCTGGAGGCAGCCTCTACCTGTTTGAATTCATTCATTCGTGCATTCATTCATTCACTCATTCATTCATTCACTCATCCATTATCACCAGACTTGTTCAGCATCTGTTGTCTCTAGAGCCTTGTGCTAAATGGGCTGGTAGAGACAAGAGAAGGGAAGACACAGGCCCAGACCTTGAGGAGTTTATAGTTCATGTAAGAAGAGAAGACTGAGGCCCATGAGGAGATAACTGTCATCGCGACTTGGCATCTGGTCCAAAGGAGTGGACCAGAGAGGCAGGGTTGAGGAAGCTTAGAGGAGGAGTGATGGATGAGGCTGGAGTGACCGGGAAAGTCTTCCTGGAGGAGGAGGCACCCACCGCTTGGGAGATGGTCATTGGGGTTTGTTGAGGTGGAGGAGAAGGGTTTCCAGGTTTTGGGGAAGAGTCTGAGTTGAGGGTTGGAGGAGGGTTGGACAGGATGTATTTAGGGGAATACAAGGAGGTTCTATCCACCCACAGATTCAGGAATGACAGCTCACCGCCCACTCCAGGGACCCCTGCGATGCCTCCAATGCCTGGGACCCCTCCGATGCCTGCCAGACCTCCAACTCCTCCAAGGCCTGTGGAACGTGAAGAGAACAAAGCTGTCTGTTATCATCAGTGTATGAGTCAGACTCATAAACTCATAGACCCTGGGAAAGTCATTTGACCTCTGTCTGCCTCAATCTCCTCATCTGTAAAATGAGGATAATAATAGTACCCACCTCCCATGGTTGTGAGGATCAAATAACTAGAAAGTGTTTAGCACAGTTCCTGGTATGTAGTAAGCACTATCCTTCTGCTTTCTCTTGCCCAGGGCCACACAGCGAGTGAGTGGCACCAGGAATGAAAGCCAGACTTCCTAACTCTCAGTCCTATGTTCTTTCCACTATACTAAGTTCTTGGGGACATTGCTATAGGAGTATGGGGAGATAATGACTGGAGGATTGGGGAAGGGAGAAGGGAACATGTTGGGGGTTGCTCAGTAGTAAGACTGAAAGCTGAGGACGTTTCCCGTGGAGCAAAGGACTTTGAGCCAGCGTGGCTGGTGAGGGTCCACAGGGACAGGAGAAGTAGTCACAGATGGAGATGCTCAGTAGTGACTTTAAAGGGACTGGGCACGTAAGTTTAGGTTATTAAATTGGCAAACTTCTCTGGTGGAGCCCCAGATGCAGCCTGAGAGTGGGGGATTTGGAAACACTCACAGACCTAGCCAGACCCCAGAGGGCCTGGAGAGCTGAGGATGGCTTGGGCAGCAGGACACTCACCATACTGGGCAGCTTTGGCAGCAGCCTTGGCCGCTGCGGCTGCAGCTGGGGAAACTGCTCCTGTAGGGACAGACAGAAAGAGCTATAGGACGGCCCCCCTCCCCAAGGATGCTCCTCCCACCATCATCTCACTCCTGGCCTATTGCAGTCACCCACTGCTTGGTCTCCTGGCCTCCACCCAGCTATGAGACGATCTCCCCAAATCACAGGTCAGACTATGTCCACCTCCCCCACCATTCAGTAAATTCCGGCAGTCTCCCATGGCCTCCAAGGTCAAATATAAAATCCTCTGGCTGGCTGTTAGAGCCCTTCACAACCTGGCTCCTTCCTACCTTTCCAGACTCCTTAGATCTCACTGCCTCTCCATGCACTGTATAATCCAGTCACACTGACCTCTTTGCTGTCCTCTTGAACAAGACGCTCTATTTCCTGACTCAGTGCATCTTTCCTGGCCTAGAGGGTTATGTCTTCATCTTCTCCTGGCTGCCCTGGCTTCCTTCAAGTCCCAGCTCAAATCTCCCCTTCTGCAGCAAACCTGTCCCCATCCCCCTTAATGCTAGGACTCTCCCTCTGGTAATTATTGCCAAATTATCTTGTTTGTACATGGTGGTTTGCATATCATCTCCCCCATTAGACTGTAAGCTTCTTGAGGGCAGGCACTTTTTTTTTTTTGCCTTTTTAGCACAGTGCCTAGCACATGGCAGATGCTTAATAAATGTTTGTTGGCTGCCTGACAAGGCCTCCACCGCTCTACTCACCTGGAACACCTCCTAGACCTCCAATTCCTGCTCCTGGGACGCCAGCCACACCAGGTACCAAGCCTCCTCCCAGACCGCCAAGGCCACCAGCTCCTGAGAGGAAGAAAGTCAAGATCACTTCAGCATTGAGTGTTGGGGGTAGAGGGTCCTCAGCCCTCCCTGCTCCTGTCCCCAGAGCAAGAGACACATAGTAGAGGAATAAAGCAAGTTAGAGGCTGAGCGGCACATTTTTCCTTCCTCTTCCCAGCATGGTCTTGTTAGGGCTGGAAGGAGCCCCAGAAACCATGGAGTTCAACCCCTCCACTCTATAGCTTCTGGGCTCATCCATAGGCTGAGGACTAGGAGGAACTCTGGAGGTCCTCCTTCCAACACCTGCCTTCCAGATGAGGAAACTGAGGCCCTGGAAAAAAAGTGATGTGCTTTCCTAAGGTCGTACAGGTAGTAAATTATCAGAACCAAGATTCCAACCTCTTGACTATTTTAAGTTTGGTTGATTAGTCACGTCTGGCTCTTTGTGACCCCATGTAGGATTTTCTCAGCAAAGACACTGGAGTGGTTTGTTATTTCCTTCTCCAGCTCATTTGACAGATGAGGAAACTGAGGCAGGCAGGGTTAAGTGGCTTGCCCAGGGTCACACAGCTAGGATGTATCTGAAGCTGGATTTGAATTCAGTCCTACTGACTCCAGGGCTGCCACTTTTTCCACTGTGCCACCTAGCTGCCCCTAGTTTCCTCACCTGTAAAAGGTGGGGAGGGAGGATAATAGGGGAGAATAATGCTGGTCTTTGCCTGCCTTACAGGGCTATATCTTTTTTTCTTTTAAACCTGGAGAATCAAACAAAAACCTTAAAACGTTGAACAAAAGTAAGGAATACTGATGGACGCCCTGCAAAACAGAGAGAGGCACCCTGAACTTAAGCTCTGGGAGCTCCTATTGCCCCAAGGACAAAATAACAAACTCATCCTGGAGACTATAAGCTCCTCGAGGGCAGGGACTGTCTCATGGGAGAGAGCCGGGAGGCCTTGAGTAAGTCCCTTCGCCTCTCTGGTCCTGTTTTGTCCTCTGTCAGAAGAGGGGGTCGACCAGATGACCTCCGAGGCCCTTCCAGTTGGGAAGGCCTGAGTCAGTGACTGGAGATGAGGCTGACCTTCCTCAAAAGCTTGTGAGTTTCAGGCCAGCAGAGTGGACGTGGAAACACATGAACAGACACCCCTGGAGTGTGGCGTTGGAACAAAGGGGATGGAAAAGAAAGGGATTGGCCAAGATGGAAATTGGGCCCCTAGTCGACAAGTACGGGCCAGTCAGTGGACCTCAGATGGGCTGAGACGTCCAAGAATCCTGCTTCACACAGAATCCTAATAAACCAGGCTGAAAATCATCTGTTGGTCTGCCGAGTGCAGGAGGGCCAGAAACGACAGTGCTCTCGTTGGCGGCTGGCGTGAGCCTGGCTTTGGGGAGGTGCCAGCCTGGGGATGCCGTCATTCTTGCCACGTCCTCAGAGGCCCAGAGGGCCTCTCCTCTGTTCCCCACCAAACAGATCTAACAGAGAGGATCCTGGGCAGGGATATGGGCAGGGATGTGGGCAGCTGCAGAAACCTTCAGCCTCAGGAGGGGGCAAGCTGGTCACTATTCAGAATCTGGAGCAGGTTAAATCCCAACCCCAAGACCAAGAGAAGTAGGTTCTTTAGCATGGGAGTGGTGCTTTCTTAGTGCTCTGGGTACTCTCAATTTATAACATCTATTAAGCACCTACTCTGTGCTTACTAGCACTGTGCTATATAAGCACTGGGGATACAAAAGGAGGCAAAAGATTGATTGATTGCTAGGCACTGAAGACCCAAAGGAAAAAAAATGAAATTGTCCCTGCTCTGAAGGAGCCTACAATTGAATGATCTGATCCATGGCAAAGGCCAGACCTGAATCTACAATCCATTCTCCACACAGCTCTCAAAAGACATTCTTAAAGCGCCTGCGGGTCTAGAACCTAGGTCCACTTTTATTGGCAGAGAGACTGGAGTGGTTTGCCATTTCCTTCTCATTTGACAGATGAGGAAACAGAGGCAGACAGTTAAGTGACTTGCCACATAGCTAGTGTTGGAGGCCAGATTTGAACTCAGGAAGATGAGTCTTCCCAACTCTAGGCCCAGCACTCTACCCATTGTGCCACCCAGCCGCCTAGCCACCTGGCACTGAGTAGATGCTTAAGAAAGGCTTGTTAACTTGAATTAAAATGGGAAATCTTTGCTACCTCATCTGGGATTCTTGACCTCAAGTTTTGAGAGGAGTGTTTTTTCCTGTCTTCCTGTAGCCGGACAGTGTCTGGTTCCATGGGCACCATATGGCAGAGTAGACTGGGGGGTACAGTGAGCACGGGGCCTACGAGTCAGGATTTGGGGTTCTCTCCCAATGTGAGCCGGTCCCAGGTCGTCCCATGGCTGCAGACTGACACATCGCTCCCTCAGAGTGTCTCATGATGATTATGTTTTGTCCTCCGATTCCCCTGCCATTTATTAGGTGAGGAGCAGAAGGAGGAAGAGGAGGAAGAGCGCTTCTAAAACCGGCAAGCGTTTCAGGAAGAAGGCTTCGGTACGACCTAGGTGTGATCTAGGTGTGTCTACAAGGTCTCAGATCTAGAACCGGAAGGGTCTCAGATGCCATCGACCCATACAACTCATTTTAAAGGGGAGGGAACTGAGACCCTAGGAGGTCTTTATTTTATCCTACTGATGAGGAAACTGAGGCCTGCAGAGATTCTACGGCCAAATTTCCTCCTTTCGTGGCACCGAACCGAAAGATTGTTATTGTTTTTGTTTGTTTTTTAAGACTGATGGACTTGGAACCTCCCAAGACAATCATTTAGAACAGAGGCCAATGAGTCCACTCTCTCTCCCTTTTTATAGATGAGGAAACTGAGTCCCATTTGAAATAGCTAGATATTTTCGGTTTTCACTTGGGATGTCTGGGGGCACATAGGCTCATGAAACTCAGCTTTAGGAAACTAAGAGGGTAATCAATCAATCAATCAATTATTAACCAGCATTTATGAGACACCTACTACGTATCAGGCACTGTGCTGAATGCTGGGGCTCCAACAACAAAGAATGAAGTAAGGCCTGCTTTCAAGAAGCTTCCACTCTAACGTCACAAACTCAGCATTTGCTCACAGAGTTGCTCTAGGCCTCAAATGAGACCGTGTACATAAAGTGCTTTGTAAATATAAAGTGGTCTATAAATGTCCGCTGTTCTTGTCCCAACTGGGTCAGCATTTTCTCCCTTCCCACATCTCCTGATTTCTCCTGGCTCGGTGCTTGTTCTATGCGGCCAGGCTTGCATCGGTTGAGAAACACTTCTCCTCCCCCACCTTGAACCTGCTAATCCTTCCTATAAGAAGGGGACCTTCTACTCCACAGTTCCAAGGGCAGGATCAAGGCCATGTGATTGTGACAGAAGGTGCCTTGACGCACCAGAAGGGGCTCTTGGGACTTGGCCAGGAGAGGACCAGAGAAAGACACTCACCATACTTAGCTGCTTTTGCTGCTGCCAGGGCTCCTGGAGCTGGAGAGGAAGAGACAGAGACTCAGGGACTTTCACAGTCCAAAACGTAAGGAGGTGCAAGGTTCCGGGACAAGGGACTCCTGGGCTAGACCAGACTGACAGAAAACCCCACCCACTGCTCTCTGCCTACCCAGCTTCCTACTTCCAGGCTCAGACTGATAAGTCTTCTCCTCTTCTGGAAGCTAATACATCAGCTGTATCACATTCACTGTATCTCTCCCTCTGCTAAACTGGAGTTCAGACTGTTCATGCCTCCTATTCCGGACTTATCACAGGCCAACTTGTGACATCTCTGGTATTACTCTGCTGAATTCTTGAAATCTTCCACTGTCAGACTATAAGCTCCCTGAGGGCAGGGCCTGGGTCTCCTCTTCCCTCCCCCAGAGCACCTACCAGGTGCTCAGTGCATATTGACTGAATGGCTAAAGTTCCCAGTGGCCTCCCCGGATCCCATCCCAAACCACTGAACTCCGAATATGGCCAAGGTCGTATTCCTTACATCCTCTCAAATGGCCCTGGGGAAGAGAAACCAACTGCTCCCCCTCCCCCACCGAGCACAATCTCAACTAAAACCTCTTCCAGTCCGGGATGCTCACCTACACCAGCCCCAAAGCCTGGGATGACTCCAACACTAGGCGGGGAGACGATGCCATCTACAGCTCTAGGTGGGAAGCCAGGGACTCCTCCAATCCCAGGAACAGCTCCTGGAGAAAGAAAGGCCCTGGTGGGCACATGGGCTGGGACCCCAAGGGAAAGTTGATCCAGTGGAAAAGGGAGCCCATTGGGAGGTGGCCCAGGGGCTAAGACCCCAAATGTCTTTCCCAGTGAGGAACGGCACAAGCTCATGCAGAAGAGGTTGAGAAGAACTCAAGTAATCCCTGGACTTTTGTTTTTAAAGGATTTCATGGGGTCAGAAGAGAACAGAATCTGTATTTGGATGATAGCCTAGGGTTGGTTGTAAAAGCCTAGGCAGGAGTGGGGAACCTGTGGCCTCCAAGGTTTCCTCCCTCTGTCTAGGGTAAAGTCTCTAGGCCCAGGCAGTAGACAATTTTCCAAAATGTTACTTACTATACTGGGCTTTGGCAGCTGCTTTGGCCGCAGCCTGGGCTGCTGGAGATACTGCTCCTGGAGACACCAAGTGGGAGACAGAGTTAGGGACTGGCCCATCTATCCTCCAGTGGGGAGGACTTATTAGTGTCCCTAAGTGCCCTCTCCCACACCTCCGTGCCACAGGGACTCCCTCTTACCTGGGAGACCTCCGACACCAGGAACACCTGGGACCCCTGCAAGTCCTCCCACACCTGGGACTAACCCTGTGGAGAACAAAAGAGGGGGACCTAGAGCCCACGTCTGAGCCACAGGGGTCCTGGAAGTGGGCTGGTGGGAAGCCATACAGGAGGTGATCTCTCCTGAAAAGCTTTGGGATGTAAGATGGGGAGCGTGGAGTCATGGGAAGAGTCACTGAATCAGCCAGATTTAAAACTGGCAGGGACCTCAGAGACTCCTAGTCCAATCCTCTCATTTTACAGGGGAAGAAACTGAGGGCTGGAGAAGTTCCAGGACCTGCTCCAGATCTCACCGCTGGTAAGTGGCGAGCCAGGAGTCAGACCCAAGCCTGTGCTGGCTCCAAATCCAACACACGTTCCACGCTGGAATCCATGCTGGAATCCACGCTGGCCTGGGCACTAGGGGACCTGAGTTTGAATCCAGCCTCAGATACTTCATCACTATGTGACCCCATGCAAATTACTTAACCTCCACCTGTCTCAGTTTCCCCATTTGTAAAATGAAGACGTCTTTGGGCGTGCCGACAGCCCTAGACCTAGGATCTTATAAATTTGCTACATACACGTATGGCCTTGGGGTCGTGAAGAGTCAGACATGAGAGACGACTGACCGACAGCATGTATGACCTTGGTCTCTCCAGGCCTCAGTTTCCTCATCTGTGAAGTCCTTTCCAGTTCTAAATCTACATCATGCTTGCTCTTATCATGGGTGGGTTCTCAAATTGTCCTCTGTCCTCCAGGAGGGCCACTCGCCCCAGCCCTTTGAGAGAATGGCTGGTGATAAAGTGGGCATCTTGGGGGAGGGGGAGTAGAGGCAGGCATAGAAGAGAAGGATCTGAATAGACAAAGAGCTAATGAAGATGAGGAAACTGAGTTGGGAGACCCAGGTGGTGACTGTTGTTCAGCTGTTTCAGTCATGTCTGACTCTCTGTGATCCTATTTGGGGATTTTTTTCGGCAAAGATTCTGAAGTGGTTTGGCATTTCCTTCTCCAGCTCATTTGATGGATGAGGAAACTAAAGCAAACAGGGTTAAGTGACTTGTCCAGGGTCACACAGCTGGTAAGTATCTGAGGCCAGATTTGAACTCATGAAGATGAGTCTTCTTGACTCCAGGCCCAGCACTCTGTGCACTTTGGTGCCATTTTACTCCCCTCAGGTCATGACTAGTCAGGCTATTAGCAGAGGACTGGAGCCCCTGGGAACCAAACTGAAGAAAGGATTAGGTCTGGAGTCTGAAACATTCATGAGGGCACACACCATACTGGGCAGCTTTAGCGGCGGCTTTGGCTGCAGCTGCAGATTGATCCAGTGCTCCTGTAAACAGAGAGAAAAGAAGCAGGATTGAGTGTGGGCAGTGAAGAAGGGCCCAGAGAGGAGAATCCGTTCCCCCGACTCCTTCCTTCCTCCCAGCTGAAACAGGCTACATGTTCATGAATTTCCAGCTGTCTTCAGAAATCCTTCTCCGGCAGGCTCTCAAATCCTAGTTTTATTTCTAACTTGCTAGTGTGACCTCAAGCACGCCATTGTCCTCGATGGACCCATTTCTTAATTTGTAAAACGAAGGGGTTGGATTTGACCTGTAAGGGCCATTGCAGTCTTGGATTTTATCCACACCCATTTCCCAAATATGATAAATGGGGAAGACAAGTGAGCAGTGTAGATGAGATGGCTATAAATCTATACTTAAAAACTTGGTTGTCTGTCCTCCTAATCCCCCAGCATCCTTCTCTTGGAGTCAGCACCCCTCCCAGGACAGTCCTGGTATTTGAAGCTGGCTTCGCCAAATCCTTCTGAAATGTTTATTTTGTTGTGGTATGAGCTCTTGGAGAAATCAGTTTGGAACTGATTCAGGAGAACAATAAACACAAGGAGGAACAATAATGCAAGTGGAAAGGTCACTAAAAGGAAACTGAACTCTGAGTAATTGAAAAGCCATTAGAGAACAGAAAATCATCTGTGGTCCTTCCTTCTGGCAGAGAGGCGGGGACTACTAGAGTGGAGTGCTGCATACATGATCAGGCCAGCTCACTGCACTGAGTGGTTTTGGGTAGATGTTTTTCTTTGTTAAGGGCAGCCCGGTGGCACGATGGATAGAGGGCTCGACCTGGAATCAGGAAGACTCTTCTTCATGAGTTCAAATCTAGCCTCAGACACTTACTGGATGTGTGACCCTGGGCAAGTCACTTAACCTGGTTTGCCTCAGTTTCTTCGTCTGTCCGATGAGCTGGAAAAGGAAGTGGCGAACCATTCCAGTGGTTGCCAAGAAGAGCCTGAAATGACTAACAGTAGCCGTTTTCTTTGTTAAAAGGGAGGATTCAGCTAGGAAGGAGGGGAGGGTTGGAAGGGAGGGCGTATTCTGAGAAATGACTGGGAAGTTTAAAAAAAAGTGTCAATAAAACTTATTTAAAAAATAACAGAGAAATTAGTTTTAATAGGTGATTTCCCCCCCCCCCTAAAATAATTTGTATCTGAAGCAATTTGGGGAAAAAAAAAGTCTAGCATCTAGGGGCAATCACAGCTTCTAAGGCAAGGGCTCTTAGTCTTTCATGGACATCATGAACCCCTTGGACAGGGTCTGGTGAAGCCTCTGGAATAATGTTTTTAAATGCATAAAATAAAATATGAAGGATTACAAAGAAAGCCAATCATATATAGCTATCAAAATATCTTTTTAAAAAAGTTAAACACCCCTACTTTAAGAAGCTAAGGAGAATCATTGCAGGTAGATGCAGCATATACTTGTAGGGAGGGAAAAAGAATGAAGTTATTTCATAAAGAAATAAAAAGTTAATCAGCGGAATGATCATCTTCTGATTGGAAAAGGTAGGAATGGGCATTCAATCTGCTGATATAGAGAGATGATTTGTGATTCAGATGTTCTCTGTGAGGTTCTGGGTCATGAAGAAGAGAGACCCTCCTACCTGATAAGGAATTTAGAACAGCAAACTAAGGTTTTCTCCAATGACCAGATAGGATAGAGACTGAGGAAGCCATGGGCATCTGGAAGTGAACCGCCATGAAAGAATTTTGAAATCTCGCTGGTCTCCAGACCTAGAGCTCTCCTGGGAGCCGTTTGACTCCCAATGCAAGGACGCACTGGGATGATCTGGTGGCTAAACTGGGGTTAGACGAGGCTGTGATCAAAACAGTTCAGATGGGGAAAACGGTACTCAGTTGTACCTCATTTCCTTAAAGACTCAGTCTCTCTAAAATGCCACCATGCTTAACCTCCAATTTAAGAAATATTTAGAAGAAAAGTACATTCATCTTTCACTCCATTAACTAAGCTTATGACTGAAGCTTCCTGGCCTTTGATTTGGCCATCATTCTCATCTCCATTCCCCTCCCCTCAGCCCCAACAAGGACTCTACCCCTGAGTCCCTAGGCTCAGACATGTGAGCTAATTGGGAACCAGGCTGACATGCTATTTACCCTGATCCTTTTCCAGCTCTCCTTTATGTTATGTCTCTCCCAGGAGAATGTAAGCGCCTTGAGGTCAAGAACCATCTTGATTGTTTGTATTTGTATCCCCGGTGAAGGCATAGAGTAAGAGCTTAATAAATGCTCTATCTTCCTCTCTATCTGTATCTGTCTGTCTATGCCTGTCTATCTATCTATCAATCCTTCTCCCTCTATCATCCATCCATCCATCTATCATCTGTCTCTTTCTTGTCTATCTATCCATCTGATTATTCATCCTTCTACCTATTCATCTTTCTATCTATCCATCCATCTATCTCTTTCTCATCTAACTTTCAATCTTTCTCATCTCTCTCTATCTCTTTCTCCCTTTATTATCCATCCATCCATCCATCCATCATCTATCTCTTTCTTGTCTATCTATCCATCCATCCATCTATCCAGCTGATTACCTATTCATCCATCTAGCTATCCAACTTTCTATCTATCCATTCATCTATCTGTCCATCTCTTTCTTGTCTATCTTTCTATCTCTTGTATATTGGGGCCATAAGTTCATAGCAAGGCTTCACTACTTTTATAGTGTCGATCTACTTTAATTTGAGCAAATAGAAACATGAAATGATGGCAGGACTGTCTCAGCTAATTTTGGTAGTGTATAGGCCATATAGAAAGTGTGGACAACCATCAACCATCCTTCCCAGGAGAGGGGAAAATCGACTGTGTAAAATTTGTTGCACGTTTTAGAAAATGCATTTCCTGAGGGCCTCGTTTCCTCTAACCAGCAGAGCTCCAGGTTCCAGGTTAAATCTGAGTGATGATGCATAGCATGCAGTGAGCAGATAGAGCCCTGGACCTGGATTCAAATCCTGCTTCAGACACTTACCAGCTCTGTGACGCTGGGCAAGGTCCTTCACCTCCCTGGGCCTCAGTTTCCTCATTGTAAAATGAGGATGTTGGACTGCATGGCCGCTTAGGTCCCTTTTAGCTCTAGTTCCATGATCCTATGATTTCTTTAAGCATTGGTTCTCAAAGTGGGGCCTATGGACCCTTGGGGGCCCTGAGACCCTTCCAAGGGGTCTGTGAGGTTAAAACTATTTAAATTTCTCATGTCGTAAATATTGCTGTATATAAAACCCGCATAAGCAAAAGCTCCTTAGGGGTTCCTCAATAATTTTTGAGAGTGTAAGGAGATCCTGAGACCAAAAAGTTTGAGGACTGCTGTCCTGCAAAACAATGAACCCAGAGCGAAAGGAAGGAGGCAGCCTGGGAATGGTGCAAAGGGCTCAGAAGAGCAGTGAGGAGACCTTAGCTCTAGGCTGGGTTGTTCTGCAGACCCTGTTTGTGGACTTTGGTCACAAAGGAGAAATCCCTTCCCCTTAGTTTTCTTCTCTGTAAAATGATGGGGATGGACTAGAGGGCGCCCTTCTAGCTGTGACACTCTATGGTTCTAGGAAATACTTTGTATCCTCCCCAGCCCCCTGTGGACCCCTGACAAAGAGTGGCCTGAAACGGGCAGAGTCCAAGCTGGGTAAACAACAGCTTACCTGGACCTCCTACCACGCCTCCAACGCCACCTGGAACAACTCCCACACCTGGGATGCCAGCACCAGGAACTATCCCTCCAAGACCTCCAGCACCTGGGGAGATTGAAGAACGTCAGGCCAGCCCTCTCCTGTATCTAAGCCATATCTAACCCAGTGAACTGGGTTAGAGGAGGGAAGGGGATAGGAGAGGGGAGGGTGAGGCTGAGTGATGGGGAGGGGAGACAGAAGAAGGAAGCAGGGGTACAGGTAACTCCAAATTAGGGATAAATGACACATCATTTCTGCTTGGAATTGGATTGCAATAGAGGCAGCATGGCACTTTTGGGGAGGAGGGGGAAAGAGACAGAGAGAGACAGACAGACAGACAGAGTCAAAGTCTATTAAATCTCTTCTGCTTTCTGTCTCTGTCTCTCTTCTCCTTCTCTGTTTCTCTCTCCTCTCTCTGTCTCTGTGTCTGTCCTCTGTGTGTGTGTGTCTCTCTCTCTGTCTCTCTCTCTCCTCTGTTTCTGTCCTTCTGTTTCTTCCCTCCTTCCTTTTTCCACCATCTCCCTCTCTCCCTCACTACATTTTGCAAAAAATGATTATTTCATCGCACCTTCAACTTGCGAGTTAGTCTAACCACCGATTCATGCAGAGTGTTTTACTTTATTCATGAAAAGTGACAAAATCTATCTGCTTGTGGACTCTTCTCCCAGAATGTGGGCCGTTGAGAAATGGAGCTAGACTTCCTGAGGACCAAGACTTTGTCTGTCTTCCCCATGAAGCAGATCAGCAGAGAGCTGGGCACAAAGGCACTTAATAAATGTTTCTTGAACCAACCAGTGCCTTCTGGGTGGACAGTCCTATGCTAGACATTATAGAGGAGAGAGAACAAGGAGATATGGTCCCTGACCTCAGGGAGCTTGTGGTCTACCTGAAGAGACAGGATGCACCTTCCCAACATTATTGAAGGATGACTCCAGCAACATATAAGCTCTAACATACATAATGCTGAAAACATGTCACAGGAATTCAGAGGAAAGACAGAGATCACTTGGCTGGGATGGTTAGGGAAGGTGACTTGGGGATTTGATTTTAATTTGAAATATGAGGAGGATTGGGAGAGAGGGAGAGAAGTGAGATAAGGATGGAGTGGATTGGACATTGGACCGGGTGTCAGGAAACTCCTGGCTCTGATGCTTACTACTTAACAGACTTTGGTCAATCTTCTCTTGCCCAGACCTCAGTTTCCTCACCTGTAAAATGGGACTCTGGTGGACGATCAAGTGATCTCTAAGGTCCTTTCCAGTTCTAAAAACCCTAGGAAACTTACATCATCTTTCTTAGCCTCAGTTTGTTTATCTGTTCTGGGCTCTCTTCTTTCTCTATACTGTCTAGCTTGGTGATCACATGGATTCGTGCATCATTACTATGCAAATCTATGTGGTTCTTGCCTCTCTCCTGGGGTCTGGTCCTGAATCTCTGATTGCTGGGCATTTCCATCTGAACATCTCATAGTCAACAACTTTGGTCCAAAATCAATGTTTTATTATTAAACTTTCTTTGTTAAAAAAATCTGAATATCCTGGGGGCAGCTAGGTGGGGCAGTGGATAGAGCATCAGCCCTGGAGTCAGGAGGACTTGAGTTCAAATCTGCACTCAGACACTTGACACTTATCAGCTGTGTGACCCTGGGCAAATCACTTAACCTCATTGCCTAGCAAAAAAACAACAACAACAACAACAACAACAAATCTGAATATCCCATGGTCAACAATTTTGGTCCAAAACCAGAGTTTTATTATGAAACTTTTTTTAAACCCTCCCCTCTTCCTAACTTCCCTATTTCTGTTGAAATTCTTCCAGTCATCTGGGTTTGTAACCTTAGAGTCATCTTCAATGTTGGAGTCTTTCTCACTTGCCATATCTGATTAGTTCCTGAGATCTTGGTAATTCTGCCTTCCCAACATCTCTATGATCTGTCTCTTTCTGAGCTCTTCCCCCAGTGAAGTGGAACAGAAGGGAGTCGGTTTTTTTTTAAACATATAGTAATTGAAAATAATAATAAACAAACACCATGTTGCTTCAGCTATGACCAGACTCCTTACCAGATACATCCTGCCCTCCCTCTAACTAACCTCAGCTTATTTCCCATGAGGGTATTTCCAGGGACTCATGACATCAGCTCTATGTTCAAACTATGTCCTAGTGCTGAGGCTGGTGGCTTTTAAGGTCTTTCCAGAAGTCTTCCTGCCTGTCAAACACTTCCTGATTGCTAGTGGCAGGCTCAATCTCTGCCCTGGCTCCCTGGGGATCGCTGGGGCACAGGGTGGGAGGATGGGGAGCCACATTCTCAGGAAGGAGGAAAGAAATGAATAGGGGTGGGGCAGGGAAGAGCAGCCCTTCTGCAGTGAGGAGCCCATGTGGGCAGCTTAGGAATGCTTCTCCTAAGCCCTTCTGACACTAGCCAAAGGCTAGGCAGGCAGTGAACTGGATCATGACATCACAGGTCTGGAGGCAGAAGGAACTGTGACCAGTGCCTGCCGTATAGGAAGCACTTAATAAAATACTTCCTGAATACTTCATAAAAATACTTGCTGACTGAGTTCAGCGGATCTCTGGTTCAACCACCTCGTTTTGTAGAGGAGGAAAAATTAACCCAAAGAAAGGGAAGTGACTTGACCAGGGGCCATACATGTAGCTGAGATTCGAACCCAGGTCATCTAGCTTCAGAGCTGGTATTCTTTCCACTGCACTCCACGGCCTCCATGGCCAGACTGGTGGAGTAGACATAGCTGTCTCTTTGGGGTCCACCTGCAGGCTCCTAGGGTCCTAAAATGCCTGATTCTTGTGGTGGGAGGAGAGATGGGGAGAGGCCACTGGCCTGGTCTGGGGGCAGGGTCTCAAGGGCACTCACCATACTTAGCTGCTTTGGCGGCAGCGGCGGCAGCAGCAGCTGTAGGAGAGATAGAAGAGAGGGAGACTTAGGGACTTTTAACAGGTGATGCTATAGCTATAGCCGGAGACTTTCAGTACGTGGGACAGCCCAAAAGCCAGGAACCCCATCCATGCCTCCACAGAGTCCCAGGGAGAGAAAAGCCAGGGCTCCATCTCCCACCCACTTCTGGTGATTGAACCTGAACTCACGGGAGAGAGCTGTCCCGGGGATACCTCCGGGAACGACCCCCGCACCAGGAACAGCTCCAGCGCCAACCCCAAAGCCAGGAACTCCAACTCCAGGGCCCACACCAAAGCCAGGAACTCCAACTCCAGGGACAGCCCTGGCCCCTGCAGCAAGATGGTAGCATGGGTGCAAGTGACCAATAAGGAAAGAGACTTCAAGCTTCCCCCGAGCCCTTCAGAATCCAGAATGGGGCAGGGGCAGGGGCAGAGATAACCTAGAAGATACTGACCATACTTGGCTGCTTTAGCTGCTGCTTTGGCCGCTGCAGCTGGGCTTTCTGCTCCTGAGGAAGGACATAGGGAGGGAGAAGGGCTCAGAAGAAGATAATAACAATGACGACAAAGGCCTCAGTTTCTTCATCTGTCAATGGCGGGCTTAGATTAGGTGGCTGTCAATCTCCGAATCACAGCAGCATAGATTAGAGCTGGAAGGGGTCTTAGAGGTCATCCAGTCTGATATCCCCATTTCACAGGTGAGGAAACTGAAGCACAGGGAGGTTGAGTGACTTGGCCAAAGTCACACAGGCATTAAGCGTTAGAAATGGGATTTGAACCCAGGCCTTCTGACCCTAGATCCAGGAATCAGTCAGCTGTGCAGGGCTGCCTCCCATCTGCGAACCTATGAATAACCGCTGACTTTATGCAGGTTTTTATGGTTTGTGAGGACTTTTTCATACATGGTCTGATGTCAGCTACTCAGCAATCTTGTGAGGTAGGCATTACAGGTCTTATTCAGAGGGGTGCCTGTGGTCACACTGCTAGTTGGTGTCAGAGGAGGGATTCACACCCAAGTGCTCCGGGTTCCAGGTCCACTATACCTCACCACCTCAAACTCAGGAGACCACCCTCCCCCACTTCTTCCTCTACTCCAATCTCAGCTATACAGACAGAGTCACATGCATGTCTGGATACAGGAACCATAGCCCTCACCTGGGACACCACCGACACCTGGAACACCTGCAACGCTTCCAATGCCTGGGATTCCACCAACACCTGGTACTAAGCCTCCGGCTGCTCCTGTGGAGAGAGTGGAGAATTGTCTTTTCCACCCATAAGACGCTGAGGAGGATCTCTTGGCACTCAAGTGCCCAGGAGTAAGGCAGGAATCGAAGAGTGGTTACCTGTTCCTGGAACAGTCTCAGTTCAAGCCGCATGAGGAATGGGGGGTATTTAGCTTACAGAAGACTCGGGGGTGGAGGAGGGGACACGTCCCCTGCCTTCCTGTCTGAAGAGCTATCCTGTCCAGGAGAGATCAGGCCTGTTTGGCTTGGCTCCAGAGGGGATTACCAAGATCACTGGGTGGAAGGACGAAGAATCAGACTGGTTTGCTATCAGGATAAGCTCCCTGACAATCTGGAAGCTGGGGGCCAGCAGAATTCATTCCTTACAGCTGAGACCTGATGACCATAAAACTCTGCATGACGCCCAGTCCATCGCCGTGGATTTTAGTACAGACCTCCAGATGATGGCAAAGTGGATGGCACTCATAACCCAGGGTGAGAGGCACAACAGGGAACTCTAAGGATCTGGGATCCCTGGAAAGGGTTTAATAGCATGGACTTCCTATCGCCAAAACACAAATCTTCCCTGAGAGAACTGAGAGGCTGAAGGTCACCAGGGCCAGGGTCACCCAGCAGCAGGACTTGAACCCAGGTGTCCTGCCTCCAAGGCCAGCTCTCCATCTGCCCCTGGCTCTCATAGGAATGTAACAGGAAATAAAAACACACCTGGGGTGAAGTATAGACACAGGGAAAGCTCTGAATGACGTTAGATCACGGAAGGGTTTATGGGTAAAACGAGTCTCCCAACTGGGATCTGGCTTCAGGAACCCAGGCAGAGGCTGAGACAGGGAGGATGGAGGGAGCCTCCATCTGAGGCTGAGAAAACTCACCGTACTTGGCTGCTTTAGCGGCTGCGGCTGCGGCTGCGGCCGCGGCTGCGGCCGGGGCGCCGGCTCCTGGAGAGACATAAGGAGAGAAGGGTCTCAGAGGTTGCTTTCTCAGGAAAACTGGCCCCTCCTCTTCTGCTCCCAAGGCCAGAACTAGGTGTAGGGAAGGCAGGCAGCCACACAGGGCGTGGTGCACATGAGGACATAACAAGGACTGAGCTTCCTGAGGTCAGGGACTAGTATTTAGCCAAACTGCATCTCTCCCAGCATCTGGCACAGTGCACCATAAACAGGAGGCTGTTAGTGGATCTCAAGCGCTTATTTACTTATTCACTCATTCATTCATTCATTCATTCTCTCGGTTTTCTTTGCTCCAAGGAATCAAGGCACACCAGACATTTAGGCTGGCATGGGAGTTCAGGTGTAAGCTCCATACAATTTGTGGAATAACTTGTAGATAATTGGGCTGCAGCAAAAAGTTTTGAAAATCACTGTAATAGGCACCTCACACATATTTGTTGAATTGATTGGAAGTTACAGTTTTAATATTGCTTTTTAAAAAAATATGGATTTTTAGTACTCTCTACGAGGGTAGATTTTAGGGTGATGACTGGTGCGCATTGGACAGTGAAGCCTTCCTTGCTCCCCTCCAGTCGTTCTATGGTCCAGCCAAATTAACTGTCTTGATGTCCCTCACACACTCCGTTCCCCCTTTTCTTTACCTTGGCACTGGCTGCCCCATCTCCTTCATGCCTGCAATGTCTTCTTTTGTCACCTGAGCCTCTTGGGATCCCAAGACCCATCTCAAGGATTACCTTCTGCATGACACCTTTCCTGACCCACGCCCCCCCTTCCAGCACCAACCCCTGAAATTAGCTTCATTTGAATATATTTTGCATATATTTCCATACGCACACGTGACCACCCCCATAGAATGTAAGCTTCCTGTAGGCAGGGGCAGTTTTATCTTTGTCTCTGTATCTCCAGCCCCTAACACGGTGCCTGGTCCACAGGAGCCCTTTAATTAATACTGATTCATTAATGACTTTCTTGGTCACTTTTGCGGCAAGTGGCCTCCTTCCCAAAATTAGCTTGAATTTAACCTGTATGCATTTTGTGTGTTATGTACAGGCTGCTTCCCCTCATAGAATGCAAGCTTCTTGAGGGCAGGGATGGCTTCATTTCTGTTTCTGAATCTTTAGCATCTTCAGCAGAGGTCTGGAACTGAAAGGGACCCCCAAGGCCATCTAGTTCGATCTTCTAGTTACAGAGCAGGAAAACGAGGCTTGGGGTGGAGGTTAAGACCTGCCCAAGGCTCCCCAGGCCCTCTGGCTGAGAGCCAGCGTTCCCCTCCAGCAGCCTGTCACAGGTGCCATTGCCCACCCCCAATCTCGAAACCTTGATTGGTGCTCATTGGGAATGAGCCCTAGGCCCATTCCTCCCTTAACTCTGTTCCCTGGCCACCCTTCCCCCACACCCTTGCCCAGAAACACTCTACCTGCAATGCCTCCAATGCCAGGAAGTGCTCCAGCTCCAGGCACAAAGCCTGGAAGTGCCCCAGGCCCTCCTGGGCCAGCACCTGCAGAGACAGACAGCCCTCTGCTGCTTCAGCATCCGAGGAGGAGCAAGGGATGGGACGGGGTGGGGCCAGGCCAGGGGCTGGGAAAAATCCCCAAAGAGCTGGCCACTTTATCCATTTCAGCCCTATGAAAGGCTTTAAAGGGGCAGCCCCCAAGAGCAAGATGCACCCCCCCCCGGCTGGTCCTTAGAGAAAACATTCAAAAAACACACCAGAACCCCCGAAGCACCCATTTTCAGCACACTCATTAAGGGACTTGTGTGTTTTAAAACAAATCTCACTTTAATCACAGCCACATACTGAGAAACCGCAGGCAGCCCGGTCCCCTGGCCAGAGGGGCCTCAGCAGGAATGTTGGAATGTTCTCTTCCCAGTGTTCCTAAGAGCTGTCCAACTTTGTAATATAACCAGTCCTTTGGATTTGGCTGCCCTCCCCGCTGTGTCTGTCCTTATCCCCACCCCCCTTTTCCTGGAGAATTCTGCTCATCTCCAGCGCCCTCTCCCCATCAGGACTGGTGGCTGAGAGGCCGAGCCAAGGAAAGGAGGCTGGGGACCCTTGAGGCTGGGGTCTGGAGTCTATGACAATTGAATAGAGTGAGTCTTCTGCTCACATATTAATACTCCCCTCCCCTCCAACTGTAAGGACCATCTGTACCCTTTTCTCCTGGGGTTTGGGAGAACACTAGTGAGTATGGAGGGGGTCAAAAGGAGCGGGGAAAGAGTGGGACAGACTCAGTAGAAGGTAAGTTCTTTGTGGTGAGTGATAGACATTTTATTTTTGTACCCCAAAATGTTCCTCAGTACCCAGCACATTGCCTGTACATAGTAGGTGCTTAATACATGCTCATTGATTTGAATTCATCTTTGACACTTCCTCCTCTCCTCTGGGAAGCAAGAAATAAAATTTGGCCTGTATTATAAAGAACTTTATGATGGGGTAAGCTCTCCTATAGAGGACCTTCCCTATACACTCAGTAATGAAGGACTGTTTGTCAGGTATGTTAGAGAAGGGATTCTTTAACTTAATTCGAAAAGCATACTGTATAAAGCACCTACTAGGCACTGTGCTAGACTGTGGGAATACAAAGACAGAAAAACCCTGAAACTTTCCCTGTCCTCATAAAGCTTACATTCTACTGGGGGAGGGGGGAGAGCCACACATATACAGAGAAATAAACCCAAAATTATTTGGAGGAGGGAGAGAAGCGCTCCAAACAAAAAGCTGAACCTCGAAGGGAGCCGGAGGGTTTATGAGGCAGAGGCAAAAAGGGAGAGAAAAGGTCTCTGAGGCACCTCCCAACTCTGACATTGGTTTAGTCATTTCTCAGTCATATCTGACTCTTTGCGATCCCATCTGGGGTTTTCTTGGCAAAGATACTGGAGTCGTTTGTCATTTATTTCTCCAGCCCATTTTACAGATGAGGAAACTGAGGCAAACAGGGTGCCATGACTTGCCCAGTGCTGTATGCACTATGGTGCTACCTAGCTGCCACTCTGACATTATAAGAGTACCAAATGCAGTCCTAACTCTTGCCCTAAAGATTATTTAGAGAAAGGATGCACTGGGTTATCGGGGGACGAAAACCAGACCAGGAGTTAGGGGAACCAGATTCTAATCCTAGATCACTGCTAACCAGCTGGGTGACCTTGGGAAGTCATTGAAACTCTCTAGGACTCTGTTTCCCCCTCTGTAAAATTGGGTGGTTGGAGTAGGGGGGACCCTGAGGTCCCTGCCAGCTCCAGACCAACTAAAGTAGGGGTACGAAAGGTAGGTGCAGCTAGTCTAGCAAGACTACATCATAACGAAAGGAAAAGATAAGCCTTATTTCTCAAGTTATTCGAGGTTTGCAAAATATTTTTTTCATTACAACTCTGAGTTAAATGCTATTCTTATACCTATTTTACAGGTGAGGCTCAGAAAGATTGCCTGGAGTCACCTAGTTAACAAGTGTTTGGAGTCACATTTGAACGAAGGTCTTGGCCCAGTTCTGCAACCACCGTGTACTCTGCATGGTGGCAGGGAGCACTGGTTAGGGCTTTGAAAGGGCTGGGGGTCAGAAAATCCTGGATGGAGGAAACTCAGCTTAAAGAAAGCCTGGAGGTGACAGGGAGAGATTGGAGCGATCCTGGTGCTGGGGTGGGTGCTGCAGACTGGATGAAGGAGAGGGAGGTGGGGGTTCTCTCATTAAGAGAACAAAGGAGGGAAAGGGGTCTGGTTAGACAGGGAACTGAAAGGTTCACTCACCAAACTTAGCTGCTTTTGCGGCCGCAGCTGCTGCAGGACCAACTCCTGGATTTGGAAATAAGATTAGGTCATTGTGGGGTGGGGGACAGCCCCCTCCTCCTCAGCTCCCCACGAGACCCCTCCCACAAGCAACTTCAAACAGAGTGGAGAGAATGGGGCAGGGCCCTGAGCCTTCAGATTCAGCCTGGTCCCAGACTCATGGGATGCGGGCTCTGAGAAGCTTCTCTGGCCATGGAGAAGGGCTGCATTGAATCGTCCTCATTCTCACCCCTACTGTATGCGACTAAATGCATTTGTGAGTCAATGTGGAGAGGTGAGAGGTGGGACTCTGGCTGAATGGGCCCTGTATTGGAAGGGGACTGACTCCTTTGGAGATCCTGCCTGTAACCTCGGCCCCACTGGCTAAGATGCCTGTAGAGGAATCCCAGTGGCCTTGTCTGGAAGGGTGGTTGCTGGAGTTGGGTCTGGCTAGGATCCATGAGTAGCACTGAGATGATGCCTCCCATGCCCTCTCCCACCTGCTGTAGATGAACCAGAAAATGAGGCCATACCTGTTCCAGTGGGGTACCCCACTTTCCCTGCGCCTGCCCCAGCTCCAGCAATGCCCCCTGGGCCATAACCTTTAAGGGCAGGAAGGAAGAGAGCAGTGTCAGCCTTCGATTCACCTGTCTGTGGACCCACTATTCCTCATACCCAATAAGTGAATACAAATTTCTTGGTTTTTGTCTTTGAGCTCCCAGCATTGCCCCTGGCACAAATTAGGCTTATTTAATTTTTGAAAATTATTTTTCCCTTATTACCAACTTGACAAATACCATAACAGGTACTTAAACCAATTCTTGGTTGAACCAATGAATGAGTGAAAAGTCTGTGAATAATGACTTGCTACCAACCCATTCGGCAGAGACGCGTTCTAGTATATAGAGCTGGCCTTGAGGGTCAAGAAGACCTGAGTTGGAGTGCGGACCCTGACATATGCTGGCTCTGTGACCCTAGCGAAGTCAGCTGAGACTGAGACCTTCACTTCTAAGTTGCAGATCAGGTGCCGATTGCATTGGGTATCACTTCCAAGGCAGGAGTGAGTGCCCTCGCCCCCCTCCCAAGCACATTTAGCTTCTGGGTGTTGGTGGACCTTTAGGACCTGTGTGGGTGACCAGGAAACAAAGGGAGGCCCCAGTTCACTCACCATAAGGCAGTTTTCCAGTGCTGTAGGGCAGTCCATAGCCACCTGAGGGAAGACAAGATCTGGTCAGAAGATTCCTCCATGCTCCATCCCAGGCGTGAGCCCTGAGCACAGGAGGTGGGCCACCCACAGAGCAGACTCCAAGGGATGACAGGAAGGAGCCTAGGCCCCAGTTTCTGAGGGATGCGTATCTCCTGAGTCGTCATGGAAAGAACACTGTCTTTAGGACCATAGGACCAGCTTGGCTTCTTATAACCTGTGTGATCTTGGACCATTCATTCCTTCACCCGTCTTGTATAAAACGAGGCTCGTAGGATCTCAGATTTAGAACAAGAAGGAACCCTGAGGATGATCTCCAATCTTCTCATTTTACAGCTGAGGAAACTCAGCCTGAAAGGGGTGAAGTCACTGATCCAAGGTCACAGCTAGCAACCTTGTTAGTTAGTAGACTAGTTAACTAGTCAGTTAGCAGTTAGCTAGCTAGTGGAAGAGCTGGGATTCACACTCAGGTCCTTGGAGTCCAGATCCAGGAATATGTTGAGCTCTCTTAGCTTCCTCTTAGCTGTGACTCCAATGGCACTATGAGATCCCTTGGATGGGGGTTAGAGCCCTTCCTTCCCCACTGAGGGCTCAGGCTCTGGGTTCAGACAGCCCTGGCAGAGGGGGCCCAGGGACTGACCCCCAGCCTCCCAGAGATGGGGGCCTTTCCCCGGCACAACAGCACTGACTCCAGCAATCTGCTCTCCAAAGATAGAGTCAGGGCTCTGAAGGCTGGGAGCACTGGAGATAACACTTGCAAACTTCACAGTTTTGCCACTGATTTTGGAGTCACAGAACCTGGGTTCAAATCCTGCCTCTCACGCCAACAGGCTGTGTGACCCTGGGCAAGTCACCTGACTTTTCAATGCCCAAGATTATTCTCTAAGTCAGGGTACCATGACTCTTACTGTCACGTAACTGAAATACTTCAGAATCCCTCAGTTTCCCCATCTGTAAAATGAGGGGTTGGACTAGATGGCTGCTCCGGTACCTTCCAGCTCTAGAGCTGGAATCCTCTTTGGGCCTCAGTTTCCCTGTCTGTATAATGAAGGGGCTGTACCGGATGGCCTCTGAGGTCCTGTCCAACTCTAAATCAATATAATCTCTGAGCTCAGAATCCCTCCTTCTCCTCCTCTGCACAAGCATCTTCCACGCCGGCTTTTCCTCCTTCAGCATCATCTTTAGGCACTTTTATCTTTCTCCACAGCTCCTCCGTTCAGGGGCCCTCTCTTCCGGGAAGCCTTCCCTGATGCACTTGGCTGTTGGCTCTCCTTCCCTCCTCAATTTTTTCTCGAGCAGTTTTTCCTGGGTCTGCCCTTTGTCCCCCATCACTTATTCGTGTTCAGATCCACCTAATAGATTACAAGCTCCCTGAGAGCTGCCACGTTCAGCGCAGGGTCTGGTACGTTGTAGATTCTTAATCAGTGTCTATTGAATTGAACGTTAGCAGTGCTCTCTCCGGGTCTGCATCCTGCCCGGGACAGGCACTCTGGGAAGGAGCTGTGACCATTCACACAGTTCAGGCACGCCCTGTCCCTTCCCCAAGGGTCCTCTCCTCCAGGGACTAAGACCGCATTTCCTCTTTGAGGACTAATTCCACTGGGATCCGGTCCTGTCTATCAGGACCCCGTCTCCCATGTTGTCTTCTTGTAGGGTGGGCTGCTCCAAACATTCAGAGAATAGGATAAGGTTCATAAAAGGGATGCTATCAGATTGGGAGAGAGTCAAGGCTTCCTGAAGGGGAGGAGGTGAATGGGCATGTGGGTTGTAGAAGCATACCCAGAATTAGAACTAGGGGTAGGCAAAATGGCCCAGCCCCTATGGCCCAATATTCAGAGGCCACAACGGGGACCCCCTTTTAACCTGACTTCTTATAAATGTCTATATTCTTACTGTGCTTGATCTTAGCCAAAAGGCCAAGAAGCGATAAATATCTATATTCCTAATGCCATAAATCCTACCTTTCATGGCCAGCAGAGACTTATTTGGTGGTACACTAGGTCACCTCTGCTACCTCTCTCAAGCTCGAGGCCTCTTGTGGACATGACCTCACATGGGGGTACTGTTTTCAAGTCTTGTCTCTGGCAGATTCGAACTCAGGACCACCTGGGTGCAAACCTTCTACTGACACCCGTTGAGTGACTATGGACAATTCCCTTTAACTCTCTGAGGCTCATCTGTAAAGCAGGTATGCAGATAAACCCTCTAGGACCTACCTCAGTGCTGCTTCGAGGTTTCATGCAGTCACTGTGAGTAAAGTGCATCGTAAACCTCAAAGTATTTTAGGTGTTTAGATACTGACTTATCCTCACCATCAGTGCCCTAGCTCTGAACCTCTGCCCCAAACCCCCAGTTAGTTGGTGGCTTACCTGGGAGCTTGGGTGCTTTGATAGGGTAGCCTAGGGGAACTCCCGGCTGCTGGCCTGCAAAAGGTCCAACTCCTGTAAACAAGAAGAAACCCCGCACTACGTTCAACAAAGGCCCCAGCCTAGCTCTTCATCATTTTTTATATCCAGAACTACACTCACGCCAGGCTGGTTTCCTTAGCATCTCCAGATGTCAGATTATTCCTGTCTCCAAATCTTTGCCTCTGCAGTGCCCTGCCTCTGGTATGCCCTTTCCCTCCTCGGCCCCTCTCCACATCAGACCTCTGCTCTGAGGCCCGATTCAAGTTCACCCGCTTCAGAAAGCCCTCTTTTACTCCCAAAGCCCCCATTGATCTCTCCCCCTCTTCGGACCTCCAGCATTACTTCATTTTTTTACCTTTTCTTGGGTCCTTGGCACTGCCTGCCTCTGATTGCTTATTTTCATTTTCCTGGCTCCTTACTGAGACCAGAAATTCTTCTGGGGCAGGGGTGCTTGTCTTGCTCCCCCCAAAGTGCCCATTAGGGGGCTACTTGGCAGGCCCTTGGTCAATGACCGTTGACGAATGGATGTGGGGGTTCTCATATCCTTTCCCTAAGAGCTCACAGAAAGCTCTGCACTGCTGTCTAGGGCCCAGGCCCCAGAGAGATTTTTCCCCTTAGCCATGAGGAGGTGGGAGCCCCACACCTCGCCTTGCCTGAACCCCTGACTTGGAAAAGTCCCAGGAGAGGGCAGGGGCAGGGGCAGGAGCAGCTCTCTCACCTGGAATTCCTGCGAAAGCTCCACCTCCTGGAAGAAAAGAGAAACCAGTGGCTATCTGCCCATGAGGACACCCCTAGCATCCTGCGATATCAGAGCTGGTAGGGCAAAGAGGCCATCTGGTCCAACACCCTCGTATTACAGAGGAGGAAACTGAGGCCCAGGAAGGGGGAAGGGACTTGGCTTAGGGACCAGATAAGAAAGATTTTTTCTTGTCTGGACTGTTGACATTTGGTGCTGTGTATACACAGCTCCAATCTGGAGCAGGGCGAAGCAGGCTGGCTCTGGAGTCTGAGGATCTGAGTTCACATCCTGCCTTTATCATTTTCCACCTATGAGATTTTGGGCAGGTAACCCCTCCTCAGATTATTTAAAATATCCAGGTATTTTCAGTTTTCATTTGGGATGTCTGGGGTCACATAAACACGCCCTGTCAATGTTGACCAATACCCCACGTGGGACACCGTGAAATTTCCTTTTCAAGGGTTTGGCCAGGAGAGCCACAATCATAGACAAAACATGGCATCTCACCTTTGAAAAGAGGCATCCGGGTGGAGGGAAGAATGCTGGACTTTCAGGACACCGGCCTTTGCCACCATTACTAGGTGCAAGTCATTTTACCTCTACGGTTTCCTCACATGTAAAACTAAAGCCCCAAACCTTGCTCTCCAAGAGCTATTTGGTGGATCAAGACAACTATGTCTGTGAAGCACTTTGAGAAGCTATAAAGAGATCATTCTTTTAAGGGCTGAAATGTGGGCGAGCGTTGCTCCTGAGTCCTTAGTGGGAAAGGATTTAAAAGACTTCTGTGATGGGGGACGACTCAGATGGTAGGCAATTCAAACTAAACAAATATGCCATCTCCCCCGTCATTCTCCCACCAAGACCCCTCATACGTCTCCCCCCAGCTTCTGTCTGATGCTTAAAATTCTACCTTTAGAGAGATTCATTGCTTTGATTGGGATTCCACGATCCTTTAATTAAGATTGCATCATTTTTAAAATGCTACTATAGACACAGAGGGGGAATCATCTCCTTTTTATTCTTGCTTGATGAAGATAAACCAAAAATTCTCCAGCATTTGTTATAGCTACAGAATAAGGGCATTGGGGGCAATGGTTTGGCCACAGGCAGGATCCCTGGCATTTTTTGCAGTTAGTACTATACCTGGGGCTTTGGGCTTGACTCCAGCTCCAGTTGGCACACCTGGCAAGACCCCTACTCCAGGGAATCGTGCTCCTGAAACCAAAAGAAGGCACGTTCACTGAAGACTAAAAGGCATATGCGTATCTGAGTCATCTCTCACTCCCCAGCTCAGGAGAGAAGTGGCCTCCAGTGTCCCCTTGGCCTGGCTCAGTCCTGCCAATTCTGCATGGCACGCCCCACACCTCACCCCTTGCGAAGGGAAGCCTTCCTTGATCACAAGAGCCAACAATGATTTTTCCCTTCTCTGGGGTCTAACGGTCACTATTGTCAATGTCAAGCCTGCAGATTAGGCACAGCAGATAGAGCTCAAGGCCTGGAGCCAGGAAGACCTGAGTTCAAATGTGACCTTAGACGCTGTGTGACCCAGGGCAAGTCAATTCACCTCTGTTTGCCTTAGTTTCCTCATCTGTAAAAGGGGATAATAATAATACCTCCCTCCCAGGGTTGTTGCAAGGATAAAATGAGATAATATCGTAAAAGGGCTTAAAAAAAAGTGCCATGTGTTAGCTATCATTATTATCATCCCCCCAGTTAAGCTCTTTGGGGGCAGGGATCATGGTTTGCAACTTGGTGTATCCCCCTTAGCATTTAGCTGGGTGCCCTGTGTAGAAAAAGATACCAGGAAAGTGAGAGCCAGAGGAGCCCTCTCTCTGGGAACTAGTTTTAAAACTGGTCTGAAAACAGGGTTTTTAGGGGATTTCAGATGTGGGAGGGTGAAAAGAGGATGAGGCCTCTTTACATTCTCAACATATCCACAATTAGAAAATGTGTTCTCCTTCAAAACTGAAATATATACTTCTGACACAGTCGGAGTGGGACACGAGCTCTTGACTGAGTCTCCTAAAGTGGGGACAATCGGCACGGAGCCATCCACATTCCTTCTTCCCAACCTCCTTGTAAATAACTGCATTTGTGAGACCGTTGGCCCAATTCAGAGATCAGCCTGTGACTAGACATTCTAGAAACAGCCATCTCTATACCATGCTGACTCCTCGCCAGTCATCATCCCCGTTCACTCCCCACTCACTCCAGAACCTCGGACTCTAATCCTGGGACACCGGACCGTGATAGGCAGTGAGCTTCTGGCCTGTTTTTCTCAGAACCAGGTCTCCATTCCACTTCTAGCCATCTGGACACCATAACGTAGAGCCCTCCCAATTTCCAGTGCCTCTGTATGTTTTGTCTTCTCTGGTTGGAATGTAAGCACCTTGAGGGCAGGCAATTACCTTGCTTGCTTGAATTGTATTCCTAACACTTAGCACAGTACATAGAACTTAGTACTTAGTATATAGAAAGTTCTTAATAAATAATCTGCCTTTACATCCTTCCATCCATCCATCCATCCATCCATCCATCCATCCATCCATCCATCC